TTTCTCTCTCATCGACGTTTCTAGCTCTCTATCCCTCTTCCTTCCTCTCTGTAAAAAAATCAATAAAATATATTAAAAAAAAAAAAAAAAAAAAAAAAGAGACTGTCAATTGGACTAGGGGGAACATTAGTTGCCTACTATACCTAAAATAATAACATATGTGGAAAATGAGGGCTTATGTCACACCTAAAACATAGTACTTTTAGTGTTAAAGCCTGATGCAATGGGTCAGCTAAATTTATTAGGGATGTTCCATTTCATAGGTGCTTACGAACATTTACATTTTTCCCCCTGGAAGTCTCAGTGGCAACCAAACCTGATTTCACTTGCATTTTTTGAGCTCATAAACAGTAAGAAGATTAAAGCCTAAGGAGACAGGTTTGCAATTTAACTTCAACTCCCTCCTCCCCTGCCAAATTTAGTGGCTATTTATCATTTAGATGGATTAAAAGAGATGAGGAATTTGTTAGGAAGAGAGACTAAAATAAGATTCTATTTAGAAAAATACTTGCCTAGGGAAAAAGAATATGAAATATACATAAGTTAATAAGTTAAAAGAAGAACAAGAATGAAAAACTAACCTAGTTGTATGGTTATTATCTAATTTTACAAATAAAATGAACAATGAATCAGCCATGACAGGAATTCAGAGTGAGGGTGGGGAATCAAGCAGACAATGACTAAGGCAGTGGGACAGAGAAGACACCTGGATTTGGTAAATAGGTTTATGGCACTCAGCGAGACATTCTGGAGAAAAATAATAACGAAAGCATCAGAACTGACTTAATTAGGAAAAATGACAGCAAGTCAACCCACAAAGCGTGGCCCAGCAATGACTAAGGGGAAAAATATTAATAGTATCTTTCATGAAGTTGTAAACACCAGGCTGGACAGAAATGACAGGGGGAGTGCGAGTTGAGAAGAGATCGAGGCACTTAGCTATAGGTCAGTGAGAAGTAGTTTCAGGGGAGAGGAACTGAAATGGAAAACAGGACCAGCACTTGGAGGGTAAGGAACGCCCCCCCTCCCCCCCCCTTTCCCTAGAGAAGTGATGGAAGTTGAGACCTTTGGGAGGGCTGAAAGCTGTCCCATGTTGTTACGCTAGGAACAAAGGACTTCTCACATTGCAGCCAAGGGACGAAAGCTCCTCATTCTCTCTCTACACGTAAGCATTTACACTGTGACACAGAAACAAAACAAGCAGTGCAGATTGTAACCCCTCACTAAAGAGTCAGAGACCCCTACTTCAGGAAGAACACACAAAGAACACAGTAAGAGGCAGCTGCCATTAATCACATGCTAAAATCATGTTTTTACTAACAGAGTGGGCCAGAGTCCCACTGTTTGTAAGCACGTTTACATATGCATTCTCGTCATAAGAGTTTTTTCTGGCATTTTAGGCTGACTATCCTCTTCTTGTCCATAAATGTCTCTGGGGATCTTCCAAAGCTAAATAAACTCAGGACAAAGGAAAAACACCAGCCAAGCAGCTAAACCTATTGTTTCTCTAATAATATACAGAGTATAACCTGACTTCACACAAACCGTAACCTAAGGATTCATTTCCATCTGTCTCATTTTTCTGTGGAGTATTCCAGAAGGTTTTAATTTACAAGTGAATCCCCAAACTCTCCCTTCAAAATTAATGTAAATTATTTTGGAATTGAGAACTCAGAATATTTAGAGCCTCTCTTTAGCCCCCGGGATGAAAAGGGAATTCCTATTTCTACTCCGCTAGCTATGGGTTAGGGGCCCATTTTGGTTCTTTGTGGCTGGCAGGAGCTCTTACCCCCACAAGGCAAACTATGTGAGCATTGGAAGCATGATGTAGATCTCTCCCCCTCAAACATGCTTATTTTTTTTGATCACTCAATTGGACAACTAGAGGAACTATTCTTTAAGAAACCATAGACCAAATCTGAAATAGGCAGGCTGCAAAGTAAAATACATTTTGATCAAATAAACTTATCCGGCCTCATGGTCTTAAATGATCATCTCTGACCTAATGATTCCAAAACACATCTTCAGCCCCAGTCTTCCTCCTGAACTCCAGAGACCCCGCTGCCTGGGCGATACTGCCATTTAGTACTTGCTAAAATCTTGAACTTAATCCCCCAAAACCAAACATTTGAGTCCCCCCCAGTAAAACCTGCTCCCCAAATATTCTTCTGAATTAGTAACTGGTATCTCCATCATTCCAACTGCTGAGGTCAAACACAATGGAGCTCTCCATCCATCACACCTCCTGCATGGCCCACATCCCAAATGCCAGCAAACTCTACTGGCTGTGCCTTCAAACTACATGCAGACTCCGGTTACTTCTCACCACTTTCACTGCTTCAACCCTTGTCCATCACCACCATCTGTGTCTAACTTCTAACTGAACTTCTTATTTCTACCTTGCTCCCTATAGTTCTCCCCACCCCTATTCTATACCTAAGTCAGAGAGACACATTTAAAACATAAGGCAATTTATGTTAGATCTCTGTTCTAATTTTTCCAGAGACTTCCCATCTCAAAATCCTTAACATGGCCTATTAAGACCTACATGACCTGCTTCTGTAACCTTCATCTCACACCATTCTCCTCGTTCATTATGTTCTACTTAAAGAGGGCTTTTTGCTGTTGCCTAATTATGCCAAGCATGTTCTCACCTCAGGGCTTTGCATTTATTTCCTCTGCCTGGAATGCTCTTCTTTCTGACAGTCATATGCTTGACTTGCTTCCTTACTTTCTTCAGATCTTGGCTCAAATGTCATCTTAGTCATCTTACCAGAGAAGCATGACTAGGCCATATAATACAACAACCCCTAATCAAAAATGAGGTTTTAATGTTTACCAGGTGGCCGAAGAGTGATCTATGTTGAGGGAAAAGTTTATACAAAAGTGTGATACCGGATGGTATGTTCAGAAAAACTACAAGTGAATCATTTCTATAAGGTAAATTTCAGAAGGTGGAGTAATCTGTTTATTAGGCTGGAAATGAAGGGCCTGTGTCCATGTAAAGGAGCTTATCTTGTAGGTGATGGAGAATTTTTGATGAGTTTTTTAAGCAAGGGAGTGGAATGGTTGTAAAGAAGGGATAAATAGAGTAGATATGAGGCTGGGGATGAGACTGGAGTCTAAACGATCAGCTAGGAGAAAGGGATGAATCTTTTATTCACATTGTCAATATGACTTCAAGTTGAGACAGTATAAAATGCTTACAAAGAAGCAAAGGGCAAAGAGAAAGCCAAGTTTCTGCTATCTGATATGCTACCTAGTGAGCCACCATATCAGAAAACCTGTAACAACAGCACCTACCACCAATGACAGCCTTCCCTTAGGATGACTGTGGCTAACGGTGTGCATGTAAGACAGAATATGTCTGGCAGGCTATGCCCCTGTGGGTCCTCAGGCCCTAGAGCCCTGTCCAACCTGGTTAACTGGCTGAAGAGGTTCAGATGCCAAGGAAAGTATAGCTGATCCTATGGCTGATATTTAGAATCTGTTTTTCATTCTTTTTGTTGTTGTTGTTAGGATATTTTTTTCAATTGATTTTTACAGAGAGGAAAGGAGGAAAGGAAGAAGAGGGCGGAAGAGGAGAGAAACATCGATTGCACACACCCTGATCAGAGTCGGGGATCAAACCTACAATCCAGGTATATGCCCTTGACCAGGAATCAAACCCACTACCCTCTGTGCATGGGCTGACACTCTAACCGCTTAGGGTGAAAGCAGGCAGTGCTATGGTGTAACAGTGAATAAGGAAAGGGGAGGACACAGTCTAGGAGTGGAGACAAGGACATGTGGGATCTAGTTCTAGCTCTGCTGCTGTGCATCTATGCAAGCCTCTCAACCCTTGTATTTCATTTATCCATGTCCCTCCAATATGCATCCTCCTATTTGTGGGAATTGTGATGCTCTGTATTTCATAGAGAGGCTCCAAAACTGCCACGTGAGATGGCATTTTAAGAGGCATGCCTTCTGCAAAACAATTTTCCCATTTATGTATTTTTATGTCTCAAGATTATGGAAATTATACTATATAATAAAGAAGAAATATGCAAATTGACTATCATGCCCTCATACATGGCTTCTCCCATGTAGTCACAAAATGGCTGGCAGGGGAAGGCAGTTGTGGGAGATCAGGCCAGCAGGGGACGGCAGTTGGGGGAGACAAGGCCTGCAAGTGAGGGCAGTTGGGGGTGACTGGGCTGGCAGGGGAGGACACTTGGGGGCCACAGGGCTGGCAGGGGAGCAGTTAGGCACCAATCAGGCTGTCAGGAGAGTGGTTAGGAGATGATCAGTCTGGCAGGCAGAAGCAGTTAGGGGTAATCAGACAGGCATGCAGGCAAGTGATTGGGAGCAGTCCCGGATGTGAGAGAGATGTCCCAAAGGGGTCCCAGATTTGAGAGGGTGGAGGCTGGGCTGAGGGACACTCCCTCTAGTGCAGGAATTTCGTGCACTGGGTCTCTAGTTAAATATATTTTCTTCTCTCTTTCAGATACTGAATTATCCCTACAAGGAGATTGGGTATGAAAGGATAGTTCATTTGATGAAATGTCTACTTTTTTCAATTCCAATTTCTTTGCTTTCCAACCACCTTTTGAAGTTTAGGATACAAAAATATGATGTTTTCCTAAGATAAAATAATGTGTAAGAGTAATAAAACAATGCTTCCCTATTTGTTTAGTTAGAGCTCCTGAATGACTTAGTTGATTTTTTCCCAGTGTTTATTCACTACACATTCCAAGTGTTTAGAATAGTATGAGACACATAGTAGGCATTCATCAAATATTTGTTGAATGAATGCATAAAAATTTATTCCAACAGAATGGATAGAAAAGTCCAAAGGAAAGCTAAAATGTTCCAGTTCCAGGCAAAGCACAACTACTGACATTAATGTAACTGAAGGCAAAGAAAAAAGTTTGTGACACAAAGCAAAGGGTGGTACCAACAGAACAACATATTTATAGAAGAAAACCTGCATATCCAATGTATTGGCTCCCGTGACTTACTGTATCTGCAGCAGTGAGATTGATACCCAGTCCTCCAGCTCGGGTGCTTAGCAGGAACACAAAGATGTCATTCCTGCAGAAGAGGGAAAGATATGGTAAGAGGAAAAAACTAAAAAATAGAAATGGCATGTGGCATAAGAGAGGAATCCCTGAACACAGATCTAAGGCTAGAAAGAGTTGGTGGTTACTGAGGCCTGATCTAACGTTTCTTTGACACACTGTACAAAGGTGCTCTGTTGCTAAGATCAACCATGGCTATCACTTTCCAATTTGCAGATATACTTTTCTGCCCACTAATACTAAGAGGCAACGAAGTTATAAACATGTAGCACATATAACAAAGTATGTTAACATGGAAGTAGAGGCCTTTGTCTATTTATAACAGCCATATTTTTAACAAGTCAAACCATTCATAGTCCATACAAAGGATATAAATAAATCAGTATTTCCTGGTGTTTTCCCCAGGAATCACAACTTTCAGTAATTTAACTACTAATTATAATTCCAAAGCACTCATTTTCAAATGAAGAAAGTCAGTCACAGAAAAATGACTCAAGCTCCTGAGACTAAGATCTAAGTCATGACTTCTATATTCGTATTAAGTTGAATTTAGGGTCAATCCATGAAGGCAGACTGGAATTAAAGTACTTAATTTTTGATGAATGCCAACATAGCTCTTACAAAGAAACAATCAGATTTAGTTTTCTGTTTCTCTTTACATTAAATATCCCTTTAAAGAAACCTATAATTATAAATAAAACAGTAGATAGTACTGTCATTCATTCAGGCAACAAATATTTATTGAATATCTTCTAGGAACAAGGCCATGCCAGATTACAGAAAGTATGTCCTGACTATAAGATTTATCTATATATACATATACAATTAGGGGCTCATTCTGAGCCCAGTTCTTGCAGATAACATAAACATTTAAGATTTTGCATTTTCATCTGAGACCGGTTTGGCTCAGTGGATAGAGCGTTGGCCTGTGGACTAAAGGGTCCCAGGTTCGATTCCGGTCAAGGGCATGTACCTTGGTTGCGGGCACTTCTCCAGTGGGGGGTGTGCAAGAGGCAACTGATCGATGTTTCTCTCTCATCGATATTTCTAGCTATCTATCCCTCTCCCTTCCTCTCTGTGAAAAATCAATATATTAAAAAAAAAAAAAAAAAGATTTGCATTTTCACATTCCTGCTACCCAAAGTTATTTTCTAGAATATTTCTAAATGTTTGCATTATACTGTTGAGCAAATTTTACTGCCCTCTAAATCAGCATCGCCAACTGGTGGTTCTCGAGGTCAGAAAAATTGGTGGCTGCTCTAAATTAAGCTGCATACCTTTTTTTCATGGCTATAATGAGAAATACAACTGGAAATTCATTTAGATGGGTGTTATTCAATTGCAGGTCACACCTATCATTGGTCATGGAATCAGTTTGGTGGATCTGGACCACATTAAATAATGTTTACAGCAGCACTATTCACCATAGCTAAGACTGGAAACAATCTAAGTGCTCACCAGCAGATGAGTGGATTTTTAAATTGTGGTACATCTACACAATGGAATACTATGCGGCTGTAAAAAAGACCTCATATCACTTGCAACAGCATGGATGGACCTGGAGAGCATTATGCTAAGAGAAAGATAAATATCACATGATCTCACTTATTTGTAGAATATGATGAACAACAAAAAAAGATATAGAGACACAGAACCACTGAACAGACCATCAAACCTCAGAGAAAGGCAGGGAAGGGTGTGGGGGTAAGAGATCAACCAAAGGACTTGTATGTATGCATATAAGCATAACCAATGAATACAGACAATAGGGGGAAGAGAGCATGTGCTGGGGGGTGGGAGGAAGTGGGGAGAGATCAATGGGGGGAAAAAGCAGACATATGTAATACTTTAAACAATAAAGAATTTAAATTAATGAAACGAAAAAAAAAGACATAATATAGTGCTTTGTACTCATGTGAAATGTATTATACAATGTATTATACAATTAAAATGCAAGTGGAATTATAGTATTAAGCTTTGTAAATAAATTTTTAAACTATTAAAAAAAAACCAAAAGAAATAGAACAGATTAGAAAACATAGTCATGGCTGATGGGGTTCAGTGGTTAGAATCCCAGCCCAAGCACTGAAGGGTCGCAGGTTCTATCCTGGCCTCCAGTTGGGGAGAGGGGGGACAGGGGAAGGACAGATACGAGAGAGTAACCAATCAATGTGTCTCTCTCACATTGATGTTTCTCTCTCTTTCTCTCTGTTTCTCTGTCTCTCTCTCTCCCTCTCCTCCCACCCCCCTCAACTTCCCTTCCATTCTCTCTGAAAATCAATGGGAAAAATATCCTTAGAGAGGATTAACAACAAAAAAATTACATCATTACAGGTTACAAGGAAAAGTACTGTCTTGTGAAATTTCAGAGATGGTATACAGGTACTAAATCCCAATGTAAAATGAATTTTATTCTATAGATTCAACTAAAAAGATATATGGAAACATGTTGACATCAGGATGCATTCATCCCTAGATGCTGTTCTTCCTTAATAAAGTCACTTGACTGCTTAAGGTCTACCTCCTGAATATAAAATAGAGATGCTCCGAATACAGTTGAAGCGACTAACTGATGACATAGCAAGTGAAAACATGAATATCAGAGATGGAGTTATTTTGAAATAAGCATGCTGGTTAATCTGTACGGACAGGTCCTAGTAGAAATCTGTCCATTATCTGCATTTATCGATACTTAAACACAACTTTCCTAGAGGCATGCACGGATAACAAACAGAGCATGTTTGGAGGCCTCTTGTAGGTCTTGATTCCAAAAGCATTATACTCTTACAAAAGTTCTACTAATTTATCCTTGAGACTTATGAATCTTAACATTTCATAACTTTATTTACATAACTTATTAGATGTCTCTTTTATGGTTAAACCATACAAGGCAAACCAAAAAGTTAAAAGGCATTTGCCAGTTTATGAACACATTTTCCCACAGATATGGGATGATGTAAATGGAAGTTTGATACCTCACAGCACATAGGAGAATACTTAACCGCAATAAATCTTCAAATAAAAACTGAGCTTTCTAAGCTGTACTGATCTCGATAGGACAATCCTTCCCACTCTGGCCCTGAGAAGACTGCTCTTTCCCATACATCTCTCTCCTGCTTTGGTGTGTACAGAGGTGGGATTAGGAACCAAAGGCTTCTCTCCAGTACTGTGTGAGAGCTGATGGGAGCCACCCAATGGCTAGAATTGTTTTGTAAATCTGAAAGAAGTCTGCAGGCTGGGTCTGGGTCGGGCCTGGGAAACAGGGGTGAGACAGGGTGGGAGGGAGAATGCAGTTGGTAACCACAATAAAAGAAGGGGGAGAGGCAGAAAAATGAGTCTGGACAGTCAGAGAGATAAGATCCAAGATCTGGTCATCACTTATACACAGGACTATATATAGGAAAAACACACACAAAACACCAGGGAAAGGAATCTAGGTAAAAATAAACTAGCAAAACTTAAGGCAACATGATGGTTTGGGTGCCCTCTAGAGGGCTGAAAAGGGATATCAACTAAGGGTCCTTGATGGAATAAGGCCTTCGATTAGAGACCAGGCTTCTATTTGGTTTATGAAATCACATAGTAACACTAGCTACACTCTTACTCTCTTTAGTTAATGACCCATTGAGGCCACTTTGCTTTAAAAATACCCCGATAGTGCTGGGAGTATAAATAAAGACTTGATGAGCCAGAATGAGACAACACGAGCTCTACAACACTCTCACCAAGAAAGAAAAGGCCACACCACACTCATTTTTTCTTATGTTTCCAAAGGCCCACCCTGAGTGATCAGATAACTGGGGGGATCCATCTGGTAAATGTCATGGGGGTAAAAAGTGAAGCCACGGCCAAGGCAAACCAGAGCAAAGAACTTGTGAATGGCTTCTAGGATCACGCACTGGTCACATGTTCTGAATGTTGCCCAGTCAGGACATCCTGGGCAAACAGTCTTTAGTCTCAGTCAGACTCTTTCCTGGAAGGATCCCTCATAAATAAATCTTGTATGAAGGGAATGTAAATGGCTTTTTATAGGAGTTCTTGTTTACTCTGGCTGACCTTTGAGCCACAGGGCTTTCCAGTTGAAACTACAATTTTTTTCTTTTGATGTCTTTTCATGAATAATAATGAAAATATTTGGCAAGGCACCTATCTATTTCTCTATATTGGCCTACTGTAGCTACTCAAATTTATAAGTTGAGAAGTGCCCTCCACTCTCCAACCCCCACCTCAATTTGGAGGAATCTGCCTGGTAAGTTTCTGGTCAGCACCGGCACAGTTCATTCCTATACGTGAGACACAGATTATTTCTTAGCCAACTGTAATTTCCTATCCCAACTGTAATCTAGCTCATAATGTAGGCAGGGAAAGAGATTTTAGTCTTTTGTTTTAGTTTGTCTAATATTAGATGCAGTGTTAAAGTGGTTATTTAAATGTTGATTAAAAAAACCAACTCACTGCTAAAAAATAAACAAAAGAAAAAACACACCTCACTATTCTCCAAGTAATTCTTAGATGTAGTATTTAGAAGCTCAAGTAAAGTTTTCCAGAAATGCTGTACAATATAAGATAGTTACTAAGTATAGTATAATTTAATGGTGAAAATATCCTTCTTTTAGAGCTAAGGTTTTCAAAACTATTGTGTGCTAGTGGGATTGCTCAAATAATTGCTTCACAAGTTAAAAGATTTTAGGAACCATTAATTAGATATATCTGCTGATTTTTTTCCACTAAAAAGGTCACTAAAATATACTGAGCTCTAAATTCCTATTCCAGTTTTCTAGGAACTGGGTCAGCTAGAAGAACAGATGTAGCTCTACAACCCAAAATCCAAATCACAACAAGCCAACATACTATAGCTCCGGCTGGAATCTAAACCAGTAGAAATTTTTATAAAGCAATAGGACAAGATGCACAGTTTTAAATGTTCACATTCCTTCATTCACTGATTTACTTTGTATGAATCTATATTAATAACCTAAAATGGTGACAAGGCTTTATAAACAAAGATATGCACTCACCATGAAAAAAAGTTTATTGATTTTTAGAGAGAGAAGGAAGGGAGCAGGAGAGAGAGAAACATCGGCTACCTCCTGCATGCCTCCTACCAGGAATCAAGCCCACAACCAGCGCATGTGCCCTAGAGTGGGAATCAAACCAGCAACCTCCTGGTACATAGGATGACAGCCAATCAACTGAGCCACACCAGCCTGGGCTCACTCACCATTTTTAACAATTATAGTATACCCAGTATAAAGGAACACTGGTCATTAAAAATAATGATTATAGACTTTTTTAATGATACAGGAAAAATGTTTATGATAAAATGATAAGTGGAAGAAATCAGGACACACAATCATATCTATAACATGGTATCAACCTGTAAGTATAACATTAAAGACTAGAGGGAGCCCTGGCCAATTTGCCTCAGTAGACAGAGTGTCAGCCTGAAGATTAAAGAGTCCCAGATTCAATTCTGGTCAAGGACACATGCCTGGGTTGCAGGATTGATCCCAGTGTGGGGAGGCATGCAGGAGGCAACTGATCAATGATTCTCTCTCATCATTGTTGTTTCTATCTCTCTCTCTCTTATTCTTCCTCTCTGAAATAATAAAAATATATTGTAAAAAATAATAAATAAAAGACTAGAGGGATATTCCAAGATGTTAATGATAATGGGTTTGTGGGTGCTTTTTATTTTCTTCATTAACTATTTCTCAAATTTCCCTCAATAGGCATCTATATATATAAAAGGCTAAGTGTCCGTGCATCTGACTGGTAGCTATGATGTGCACTGACCATCAGGGGGCAGACACTCAACACAGGAGCTGCCATGACGTGCACTGGCCATTTAAAAAGAAACAGTGCCACGAACCTGGCGCCGACAAACCAACACTCAGCTTCCCCCAAGGGGGACACAGGCCCAGCCAACCACCCCGGAACAACACCCCACCAAATCACAGCCAACGCTGCCAAGACCTCGAGGTGCAGAATGTGGCCCACAGCCCAGCCCAGCCCAGCCCAGCCCGGAAATGGCTGCTGCGGATGCCAGTAATGACATCACAGAGCAACACCCTGCTTCCTCTTCCTAGCAATTAGCCTCCATGGAGTTTCTTCAGCCCAAGTACCTGACTTGCTTTATAGCCAGGTGCAAACATTTTACAGTTTAACCAAATGTTTGTGAAGCTTTTTCACGTGCCTTATCTCATTAGATTTTCACAGAGAGGGAAAACATATAATCTATATATTTTGTATATAAGATTCTTGTCTATTGAAGCTCTTAGGTTGGAGTAGGTCAGGACAAAGTAAAATATGTTGCATTTTATTTCAGAATCATGAAAAGATGAAGATTAACTGGTAAACTTTTTTGGGGGAGGTGGTTCATAACAATGTGGTGAGACTAGGAGGCACTATTATGCTTACACATGTCTTAAATAATCAATTTTAAAATATACTGATAGCTTCTGCTAGGTGAGAAGCCAAGTACATACTTGCACCCATGTAACAAATTGAAATAGGTACAAAGTAGATCTTCCCTTCCAACGTTGGACAAACGGCCTCCTAAATTCAGATGTATAGTTTTAATTTAGAAGTTACTGACCTGAATATACACTGTAAACCAAAATGTCAGGATCTATCTCCTTACCTATGCTATTTTGTAAAGGATTATGCAATAGCAAAAACTTTCAATCAGAGGACATTCTATGTTGAACTATGGATTTGTTTTATGTGAAATTATTTTACATTTGAAGGAAACTGTGCATTATAACGGAAATAAATTAAAATAATTGTAACCTAGATACAAATGGCTATGTGCTTAATTTTCTTCCCAAGAACTCAAAAGTAAAATAGTAACAGACTACACAATTATAGGCCAGAAATTCAGAACTTTCTGTTTATTGAAAAGTAGGATCTCTATTCTTTAGCTCTTTAGGTTTAAGGAAAAAAATTAAGGGTGGAGTTCAGCAGACCTGTCACTAGCAGAGCTTGGCTTTCTCCTTAGAGAGCAGTAACCAGACTCTGCTTATTACAATGAGAACCTGCACTTAGGATAATTATGGCTTTGTGAGCCATCAGCATCCAGCAGGCAGCATTTGAAATTTCATAGGCTCATTATCAGGTAGGAGAAGTACTGTAACTGAGAGCTGCCAGCTGAATAGATTATAGACTACTGCAAGTTGTCACACTGCACTGTACTACAATGCTAGAGGGGAAGCAGGAAAAAGGAAGGTTTTCTTTTTTAACTTATACAAAGTAAAACAGGTAAGCAAAAAAGAACTAAGATTAACCATAAATAAACACCCAGAGATAGCCACTTTTCACATTTAGCAACTTTTTTTTTTTTTTTACATATGTATTACCCACATAATGAGGGTCTTGGTTCATACTCAGAAGTCGTTTATTTTATTGCCTAAAGAAATAGGCACTGCTTTGGCAAGAAAGCAAATTTCAAACACAAAAATTTCAAAGCATTCCTTTTTTTCTCTCACAGACACACAGATCTGAACTGCTATAAGCAGATTTAGCTACCTCTTAAAATGGCAGGAACTATCATGATCACTTAATATGAAATGTATTGGTATTTTTAAAAAACTCATAATCTGAAGCTCTAGAGGAAAACCAAATGAAAATTTTGTAACTGTTATTAAAATTACCTGTTCTGAAAATCAGCAACCATGTCCCGCCTCTCTGAGATCTTGGATGAGCCATCAAGCCTCATATAGGTATGCTTCCTGTAAACCATATATTCCTGCCAATCAAGAGTAAACAGATATAATTAGTCTGATGAAAATTGCAATTCCCACAAGCATCTACTCACTTTCTACCTCATCCATACTGTGAGCCAGTCATTATATCCAGAATGAGGAGAAACCAATTTCAAAAGTATGAGAATTTAATTTGTGAGTTTACTGCCAACATGTAAAAATCTAGGGTAACCTGGAGACCACAACCACTCTCAATATCAACTTGGAAACTAATCTTATTTCTCTAAGTTTCTGAAGGTTTCAGGATAAACAAACAAACAAAAAAATACAAAATGAAATCTCCAAACCAAAATGGCGGGGAGCAGGCCTAAGCTGCAGTCGGGCAGCACAGACATCCTTAGCACTGCCACACTGATGGGAGAGGCTCCCGCCACCACCACTGCACTCGCCAGCTGTCAGCCCAGCTGAGCGGTACTCCACCTGTGGAGCACACTGACCACCAGGGGGCAGCTCCTGCATTGGGCAGTGTGTGTCATGGTGACTGGTCGTTATGCCGTTTGGTCAATTTGCATATTAATCTTTTATTATATATATATATATTTTGCTATATCTATTTGTCTCCAGGTAGTTCTGTAAGGGCTTTGATAATCATACTGTCAAATCATACAGTGCGTGGCTCAGTGGTGGAACGTCAACCTATGAACTGGGAGGTCACGGTTTGATTCCCTGTCAGGGCACATGTCCTGGTTACGGGCTTGATCTTCAGTAGGGGTTGTGAAGGAGGCAGCTGATTAATGATTCTCTCTCTTCACTGATGTTTCTATCTCTCTATCCCTTTTTCTTCTTCTCTAAAATTAATAAAAATATGTATTTTTTTAAAAATTAATATTGAGCTAAGAAAATAAATTTAATATTTCTTATTCACAAATTCTGGCTATATCAAAGTTACTTAGCCATCTCTCCAAAGGTCTAGGCTGTTGCTCAGCCTGTATGGCTCAGTGGTTGAGCATCAACCAATGAACCTGGTCACAATTCAATTTCAGGTCATCTGCCTGGGTTGCAGGCTCAATCCCCAGTAGGGGGCATGCAGGAAGCAGCCAATCAACGATTCTCTCTCATCATTGATGATTCTATCTCTCCCTCCCTTCCTTTCTGAAATCAATAAAAATATATTTAAAAAAATAAAAGTCTAGGCCATTTAGAGATAGATGTTTAATCAAATGTTCGTCTAGAAAAAAAATGCCTAGTTTCTTCTGTTAATTTTAAGAACTGTGCCCACTTCCATTCTTAGTTGAGCGATGCTAAAATACCTAATGACTTAGTGCCAAATCAAATTTTATTTTGTTAAAATAAAAACACAAATTCTAATAAATTTGCTAGTACACATAGCATTTTTGAAATTTTATTTTAAAAATTAATATAGCCGCCGGGACTAGTTTGGCTCAATGGATAGAGCGTCGGCTTGGGTACTGAAGGGTCCTGGGTTCGATTCCGGTCAAGGGCATGTACCTTGGATGCGGGCATATCCCCAGTAGGGGGTGTGCAAGAGGCAGCTGATCGATGACTCTCTCATCAATGTTTCTAACTATCTCTCTCTCTTCTTCTCTGTACAAAATCAATAAAATATATTTTAAAAAATAAAAATAAATAAATAAAATTCAATGGGAAAAATACCCTCAGTTGAGGATTAGCAATAAATAAGTAAGTAAGTAAATAAATAAATAAATACATACATACATAAATTTACTGAAGAAGCCAAGGGGATTTTGGACAAGATATACTCTGAGTAGTGATTCTCAACCAGAATTAAAAATACCTATGCATGGACTCACCCCAGGAATTCTGAGTCTGTAGGTCAGGGCTAGGGCTTGAATTGTTTATTTTTTAAATTTCTTTCAAACCTTCACCTGAAGATACGTTTTTATGATTTTTAGAGACAGAAAGAGAGAGAGACATCAAAGTGAGAGGAAAACATCGATCAGTTGCCTCTCACACATGCCTAGACTGGAGCTCGAACTGTAACCTAGGCATGTGTCTGACCGAGAATCAAACTTGCAACTTTCTGGTGCATAGGAAAATGTTCCAACCAACCAAGCCAGGGCTGGACAGGTTTATTTTTAAAAAACTCCAAAGATGATTGCAATAGGTGCTCTGTATCAAAAGCTAAGAAAAACTACAGAATCTTACTATTTCAAATATGGCTCTGAGATGAGGAGTACTGGCAACACCTGAAGTATGCTAGAAATGCAGAATAGAGGGGCACGCCCATACATAGTGAATTAGAATTTGCATTTTAATTTTAACTCTGTGACTTGTAAGTACACATAAATTTGAGAAACACTCCTAAAGCATTGAAATACCTTTTTCCAAGCAAAATCTTACAAATTTCTACCTCAGTCTGTTATTCTCTAATCCACTCCACAAGCTTGAAAACCAGTGTCTTAGAATACAAGTTATCTATACTAATAAAAGGGTAATATGCTAATTAAACTGGGAGACCTTCTAGATGTCCTTCCAGACAAAGCCATGGTGGTGGGGCCAAGGCAGAGGCAGTTAGAAGCAGTCAGGAGAGGGCAGCTGGAAGCAAGCAGACCAGCAGGGGGGACTGTTGGGGACAAACAGGCTGGCAGGGGCAATTGGGGGCGAACAGGTCAGCAGGGGGGGGGGCAGTTGGGAGCGATCAGGCCAGCAGGGAGGGGCAGTTGGGGCCGATCAGGTGGCAGGCCAAGTGGTTAGGGGCGATCAGGCAGGCAGGCAAGCAGTTAGGAGCCAACTGTCCCAGATTGCGAAAGGGGTGTCTGACTGCCAGTAGTTGGACATCCTCCAAGGGGTCCCAGATTGGAGATGGTGCAGGCCAGGCTAAGGGACACATCACCCTACACACACTCTGTGCATGAATTTTGTGCACCGGGCCACCAGTACTAAATAAAAGCAAGCATTCACATACCCAATGATGTAACATCAAGTGAGTAGGTTCATCTTACTTAAAGTAGTAGCGATGATGATGGCTCGTACTTATACAGCGTTTACCAAGTAACATCACTATTCTATGTACTTTACCTGGTTTTGCTTATCTCATCCTCACCATAGCCTTCAAAGGGAGGTGTTATTATTGTTACTTCCATTTTACAGATATTAAGAAAGGTCTTTAAAGTGACATAGGCAGTAATGAAGCTAGGATTGGAACTCAGGTAGGCTTGTTGCAAGCATGCCAAACTTGTGGCGGTTTGGCATGTTTATTCTAAAGCTTTTGGTTTAACCCTCTACTGCTTAAATGGAACAGAAGCACACCACCAATAGGGGGTAAAGGGAATATGGGGGTGGGGTGGGAGGAGGAGAAGCCCAAAGGATTTTAGTATATTTTGTTTATAACCCCTATCCAAAGTCATCATAAAGAAAGGATAATTGGGCAATTGAAAAAAATAAAGGAAAATGCTTACATATTTATAACATGAACTTCCATTCTGACACTTTTTTTCCATTTCAAAGTTGCCTCTGGTGTTCATTTTAATGCAACTTCACTTTCATAAAACGTTTTGGGAGGAAAGACTCCGTATGATCCACAAACCTGCAGATGTGGTGTAACTATTTTCCTGGATGTGTCCCTTTACATCTTTGGGATCCATCACCAGCAAAAACTGAGGCTCCTCTCAATGTCTATTACAACCTCTCTGCTGTCCAGGTAAGTGCACCACGTGAATGAATATGGCAGCTATCACTCCTATATCTAACACAGAGAAACCTTAGGAGCAAGAGCCAATCACGAGGCATTCATGGGTCCAACATAGCCTACCTCCACACTACTGGTGCTATATCCTTTTCTCCTATATCCCACGCACCAGTCACAGCTCACTACTACTCCAAATGTCATCTACCTTCCCACCTCTGTGCCTTTGTACACCTGGCCTTCTTAGTCGGGAATGTCCATCTCCCTGATGCTGAAATTCTATTTAAGTTCAGTTCTGATGTCACTGTCTATGCAAAGCCTCCCCCAAGTGACGCAGTTAGAAATAAACGTATCCTCCTGTTATGTTCAGCAATGTTTATGCTTCAGTATTTTTGGCACCAGTTCACGTTACACTTGAGTTATTTGTCTGTGATATATATAAAAGTACACACACACACACACAGCCCCCTGCCTCCCACCCCAAGATACATTCCTAGCAGTCAAAGACCACAGTAAACTGATATTTATATCTGCCCTAGCTCAATGTCTTACAGTTGGCATGAAAAAGAAGTGAACTAAACAGGATATAGGATGATTGTAAGTTAAAACATGTCCTTCTACCATGCTTAAGACCTAATGAAAATGCTAGTCAACAGTGATTGCAATTTGCTTTACATTCCCCGGGACAGTTTTAGAATACCCAGCTTTCCGGTATGTTCAGAATCACAGCTTCAAACGGTAACTTGAAGCTCTAAGAGAAGACAGCTCATAAATGATAGAATGTCTATTCAGGATGAATCCTTCCCTAGTGAAGTACTTGCTGGCTGGGCAAATTATACAACCCAGTGTCTCAAATGTCATTATTAGTTACAGATTATCTGGACTTAATTCTGCATTGTTCTATTTTCATATATTGGTGCAATTCAAGATCTGTCTGGGTTTAGTACTTAGCAATCACACCACATACATGCACCAGTTGGCTAAACCTTTCCAAGTACCTTTGTCGTATTTCATAGAAAATGCTGAGGCTTATTTCCTTAAGCTACAGACTCAGTTACTTGATGCATCAGGAATGAATCTCAAAAGAGATGGCCCAGAGATAATGTAGTAAGTCGTCTGCAGAGAATTAAAAGTTCTCTGCAACAACCCGAACTAGGGTAAAAATGAAGGTAGTATGAAAAGTTTTGACTGACTTAAAGTTGGACACCACCATCCCAATTGCACAGGGCCTGTTTCCACAGTACCCCCACCAGCCAAGGCCTACAGGTGACTCAGTAAATCTACCATATGCTCCGCTATTTATGTCCTTGACTTCTGCCCATGGTACACTAAAAATTCTTGGCCCTGGAAATTAAGCAGTCTCCTTTTATGTCCCCTATCCAGAAATACTATTTGGATACCATGGGGAAGGATAAAACATTTCAGATTACAGAATTCTATTTGGAAGAAGATCTGATATATTCATAAGAAATTGAAATTAAAGTCAGACTTTTGCCCAAGAGAAGGAGGCTACCGATCAGTTTAGAAAATACTGAGCAAATAATAAGTGCGTAGATCTAGTATTGCTCACAAAGTGGAAACCTGGCCATACAGAAATATATGACAGTTATTGTCTTTAGTTCTGTGAGTCCCACATACAGACAGCCAAGGCTGAAGCACTAAACACAAAACCCCAAAGGCTGCCGTATGAAAGAGATGCTGACATGCTCCACAGCTCTGCAACAGAGCGTCACTGCCCCTGAGTTTCTAACTCTGGCTCTATTGAAAGCATTTTGTTCTCTCTTTGACATACAGGGTACAGGATTTCAAGGGAAAAAGAGAATTCTGAAAAACAAGTTTTAAAAAAATCTTATACACCAATAAAAACCACAATACACAAGGTGAGGGTCAAGGTATTTCTTTAAAGAACAGGTTACACATACTGAGGATAGAGGGGCCTTTCTATAACCTGCCTCTTAGGTTCACTCACCAGTTGTTTAAAACTGAAATGACTCTAACAAATGTTTACAGTGAAAGATTCCATTATGAATGTAAACCCACACTACTCTGAAAAGGTAAAGAAATGTAGACCTAATCCTGGACTGTTCCAAGATCCACATTTCAATAAATGATAAGATATATATTAAACATTGTGGGCATTGAAATTCTACATCCACAAAATAAATTTCATTTACGGACTAACCTCTTGGAATACAGAATATGGTTCATTTGGGTAAATATTAAATAAATAGACCAAAGAAAAAAATAAGTGAACTATTAGAAAATTTAACGTAGAAGGAGAAAGAATAGAATAGTATCAAGAAATCTAAACAACAGTTTTCATTTTCATTTAGTTTTAAAAACATACAACCAACACCAACATTTTTGGCTTCAGCTTCCTAGATGCATGTTACACATATGGCTAAGGAATGTAAGTAGTTATGAAATTCAGCCTTTGAATTTGCTTTTCCATAATTCAAAATTCCTCATAGAGACACAAGTACATTTAGAGAAGGTCTTCATGCTGCCTCGTTTGCAAAATCTATCCTCAAAGTTTACTTCCCCTTCAAAAAACCTGCTGGATTAGAGAGATTGGAAGTGACTGTAGGGATAAAGTTTAAAGCACTCATCTTGAACAAAATTCATTGTTATACTTTAATTTACTTATTTTAGTAATATTTACGAGGAACTAGAAGTGTGCAATATACAAGATGACGAACTAAAATGTAGGACTGTATCAACTTAACCCACCCACACTCACCTTCTTCTGCCAGAGCTAGCTTTCTTGCAGTTTACCCATTTTCCTAGAATTTCCTCTAATATGAATCAACTTTTTTGATTCTATAACATACTCATATAATCTTAGAGAAAGAAAGATCATAATCTCCCTTACAAAATCCTTAACATATTGCTTTTCTGTAATTCTTAGCAGTAAGATCACTATTTCATCTACACTTCCCTGACTCTAGGGCAAGGCCCACATGAATTTTATCTAAAAAGAGACCCACTGAAGGAAAGTTAACTCACTGTTTTTGGCTGTTGGCATCATCTGGTTTGAACAGAACATTAAAGATGCAAGCAATCCTTTTATTTTAAATTACTGCTATTAGGACCTTTTAATACAGTCAAGATTTACATCAAACACAATTGCTTAATCATCTCTTACAGTCACATAAGCATTCTCCATCATTTAGACATAGGTAACCTATTTATCATACAAACCAGAAAGTTTGGTTTGCTGATAGCATTCTGGGGCTAAACACTACATTTAATATATAAAAGCCTAAGTGACCATTTGACCAGTAGCTCTGATGCATACTGACCACCAGGAGGCAGACACTCAATGCACAGCCATGGAAACATGGAACAGATTGATGAATCTCAGAGGGAAGGGCAGAAAGTGATTAATCAAAGATCTTATATGCATACTAGAGGCCCTCTGCATGGATTCATGCACCACTGGAGTCCCTCAGTCTGGCCTGTGGGGATCTGACTGAAACTGGCAGTTTTTTTAAAGGCAAAAGAGCCAGCTGGTGTGGCTCAATTGGTTGGGCACTGTCTGATGCACAGAGAGGTTGCCTGTTCGATTCCGGGTCAAGGCATATGCCCGGGTATCAGGCACATGCCCCAACCGGGGCTTGACCCCAAAACCCAGATGTGTGTCGTGACCTAAAATCGAACTGTGACTTCCTGGTTCATAGGTTGACATTCAACCACTGAGCCATGCCAGCCAGGCACCTTAGGAGCTTTTAAATGTCCTGATGCCTAGGCCTCATTTCAAACTTATTAAATAAAAATCTTTGGGGATGGGATCAGACATCAGTATTTGTTAAAGGTCCCCCAAGAGACTGAAATATGTAGTCAAGTTGAATACAATAACTCAAGATGAATAGCCGCTTTCTATTTTTTTACTTAAAGAAGAAATCTCAAATCTTATATTCCATATATAATTTCAGAGGACTTTTCAAGAAATTCCTAGGCTTTGATGTACTTTACAATTAGGGAGTTTCTTCCCTCATAAAGGGAGGGAGTAGGGGTGTTCTATTTCTTTGGAATAAGGAAGGAAGCAGAAATCCTTTGCATACTCTCTCACATCTGCCAGGAGTTGCTTCTCCTCCTTTCAGACAGTAAAATCACAAAGCTGTTTGAGTTCCCATTAAGCAGGAGTATTAGTTGTAGATATCTGATTCCTATAAGGTGTCCTAGTTTGCCAAGGTTCCTTCTCCTACCTCCAGTAGGTCTATCATCCTGGTCATCTGGGAGTAGATAAGGACCCTATGTCCTTGAGACTTGAGCCGAGTCAGCAGGACATCAAGGGCATACAGCTTTCCACTGTCAGTGATGAGGCTCTCCTTGCCTAGGGAGAAGAAAAGGGGGAAGGGGAAACTGTATTTAATTGAAGTAGCAAAATCACTCACTGCAAAGCTGTATGCAGTCAAAATTACTGCAACAAGGATGCGTGTCATCACGAGAGCAGGAAAGTATTCTTGAGGATAATGCAAAGCACTATTAAACTGTGATCCCATAGTGCTCTGGGAAGAGATATCCTGAAAGAGGGAAGTGTGGGTACCTCCCAACCAATATTTCCCAATCAGACATAGGCATCTGAAAACTTCCCTACTCCAACCCTTACTCAGGTACACATGGCATTTAAAAGTGACGTCCATGTCATATCTTCTGTAAGTGACCTGAAAGAAAGCTGTTTCTTTTTCCATATTATCTCTCAATATCTGTTTCTGCTAGTCTTTGGCTAAATGGTTTACTTTCTGGAAGTATGAGACTATAAAGAAACAAGGCCTGCTCTTGTCAACCCCTGGATTCACTTAAACACCAAGAAATGCAAATAAACACAACCTCTTTTGCCTTTAAAATATTTTTATTGAACTTTAGAGAGAGGGAGGGAGGGAAAGAGAGAAACATTGATATGAGAGTTAAACACTGATGGGTTGCCTCTGCCCCCCCCCCCCCCCCAAACTCACTCCACTTGGGATAGAGCCTGAAACCCCAGCATGTGCCTTGACCGGGAATCGAACAGGCAACCTCCCTGTGCATGGGACAGTGCCCAACCAGTTGGGCCACACCAGCTGGCTCTTCTCCCTTTAAAAAAACTACTCAACTCATTCTCCCGGATGATTTCAAATAGGTTGGCTGGTAAATGCCATTATCCTAAGCTATAATTTAATAAAGACACTCTAGGGCTTATTCTGCTTTTTAAAAAGATTGATGTTGTGTTACTGTGAAATGGAAGCTGCTTTCACTCACTAACTTGTACTGTCTCCTTCCTCTTCCCATTAAAAAAATTTTTTTTATCCAAAGATCTTAAAGAATACTTAACTCACAAATTTTCATCTTATCCATTCAGTATCATTCAACTCCCATCACATTTCAGGAAGTAGAGTTTCCTGTTTGCAGACTGGTCCATAAACATGCCCTGAACAATTGCTGTTATTAAGAGGGGAAGAGATGAGGCTTAAGGGGCTGGGAGATTTAAGAGCATATGTGGAAGTGACTAGGAACACAAAAAGGGAGAGAGAAAAGCTAAAGTTATTATACAGACAACTAACTGCTAACAGCAAAAAAGGAAACTATTAAGAAAAAAAAATAGTCTATCCTTAGTTTCTAGGTTTGAACCTAAGGATTCTCCTCAGAATTGTGAAGCAATCCAAGGGTTCTCAATGGTCATTTCTCAGTTCTTGCTACTATTTGCCAAGTGCACAATTATTGTATAAACTGAACAAGAACGGATGTGCTGACAGCACCATAACAAATCACCAGCCACTCTGTTTGCTACAAAGCCACCGGCCCTGGATGTTTACTCCTCTGCACTGCAGCCTGCCTTTTCCCACCTTCGGAACGCTGCCAGGCTACATCTCTCCCTCCCGCCCTCCCCCCCTGCCGCTGTGACACACACCTTTGTTCAGCTTCTTTGTTTGGTCCTGTTTAGATTATTGAAATGCTCTTCTTTTTGTTGGTCTCTTTACCAACACAATCAAATGACCGCAGCTGGGACAGAACTGATTGCTAAGCCCTCTCTCTGGCACCAGACATGGAGAACTGTACAAATTCCTAGTCTGATGAGGGAGCATTGCTTTCATAACAACTCCAAGGTTTTCTTCTTGTCACAATTACCCTTCTCCTTTAATTGGATTCCCCAGGGTCCCTCAATTTTGATGGCTCCTAAACATTTAGGAGCTACCAATCAATTTTAGAAAATAAGTTTCTTTGTTTTCTCATTAAAAGCACAGCAAGGGGGAGGTGGAAAGCCCATATATTTTCAGTCATTGAGCAAGAGTGGGTAAACTAAGCTCATCGATTTTTACAGCCTGCTAATCTCTATTTGTATATACTCCCTCAATACAAATATTTAAGGGTATACAAATGTCTTGCATCTGAATTTTTAGAAGTTTCAATTCATCTCAAAATCATGATTCAATGGTTGTCACATATTCCTGCTTCCCACACCTATTTTAATTTGCTAAACAGAATGAATTAATGCTAGAATTCAGAAACCTCAGAGAAGACGATGTGCACACACTTTGATGGGTAGAACTCTGATGCACTGAGAGAAGCAACAAGTGGTACCTGTTGTTTTCCTGTTATTGTGTAGGTGGGGGTGTGTGGAAGTGGACAGACTGGATTTCTTTGGACTGCCCTGAAGGAAAAGGCCTAAGAAGAAAGAGGCTTCTGTAATAGTACTAAAACACTTAAATAATGAACAGCATTTGTTTTTCTGATGAACATGATAGAGGAAGTTGTCCTTATAAAGATATGCAGAAAAATTGGTTTCTTTGTATACATTGGTGTCTTCTGGGTATGGCATCCTTTACACAATTTTTTCAGTTTGTTTTGTTTTGTTAATCTTCACTCATTTTTTCCATTGACTTTTGGATCGAACCTGCAACCCAGGTATATGCCCTTAACCAGATTGAACGGATGACCCTTTGGTGAGCAGGCTGATGCTCTAACTAATGAGCACCTCAGGCCGGGGCAGATACCCAATTTTTTAAAGAGCTAGCGAAGTTGCACTGGGCCAGAGTACAACTTATTGCCAAGCAGGGCGTAGAGCCAAGAACACAATTTCCTAGAAATTAGGCTGATTTTGCCAAGTCAAAACTGTGCCCAACCCCTTTAAAACAAGAAAAATGTTGAAATGAGCAGACTTACTTTCTTGTAATCTTTCCTACAATTCTCTCTTATATTTCTATAGTCTTATAGTATTTTCACTTTGATACAAGTTCTTACTGACCACAGTGTTAAGATCCTGCTCAGAGACAAAACGAATGTATCTCATGGCAGTAAAATCAGGGTAACATTAAATAATTATCTCCTTTTATCAAAGGGAGGAGACTACACTTCTGAAGGGATTGTAAATCCTTCTTCCAGTGAACACGGAGACACATTCAATGTGTGAAATTCAGGAGATTTTGGGTAGTTTCTCAAGGACTGTAATGGAACCCACCCTTCCCAAGAAAATAGAAAATGAAAAAGTACAGAGAAAAGAGATAAACTATAGGTTTCCAGTGGCCCCCTCCCCTGCCGCCCTGCCCCAGCCAGTCTACGGAGCACAATAGGGTCAGTGAGGAGCTGGTTGGTTCTCACAGTAAACAGCCAGTGAGGCTGGTGCTTTTTATCGATGCGAAAAGAACTCAGACACTTCCTGCTATTTAAACAAGGTCCATTTTTCTTTCAAAGAACAGGAAAAGCCACAAGAGATTCCCACAGCGCCAGCAATAAGTCTTCCACTCCTGTACTGGGAACTAAGCAGCCAGAATGAAGATAGGAGAAAGAAGAAATAAGGTGTTGTCTTGCTTCTTTCAATACCTGTGTTCATCTTTTGCCTGGGATTCTGCGGTTTCCATACCTGCTGGATTCTATACCTCTATTCCCACCAGTACTCAAGCATTCTTTATACTTGGGGTTTCCCCTCAATTTACAACAATATGCCTTCACCCACTGCTTTCACATGTTCTAAGTCAGTTATGAGGCCATTTACAACACTGTTCTCATATACCCAAAAGGTATCTTCCAGTTCAGAGCACCCCTACAGCTTCTATAGCAGGTTGACCAGAAGTCTTTTGACACTTGACAAAGTTAATATTAAAATGGAAAAACCAGGCCTTAAACCCTGATCCACTTATCTCTTAGAAATAGCAGATTCTTTCTTTTGAAAGTTTATCTCTAGTTTACTTCCACTATATACCAATAAGATGAATTCAATAAAAATATCAGAGTGTGTGAACAACCAATACTAACAAGATAGCTCTAAGCTAGTGTTTCAGTTTGCTTGCAGGTGTAAGCAAAGAACAGGAGCTCATGACCTCTGTGCTCAATTTCCTTAAAAGTAGTCTCACTAAAGCAAATATGAAAACCTAGTTTCCTTCCACCCCATGACTATGACCATGACCCTGGAAGGACTGGAACTCTGCTAGCATTTTGTCACGAAACACCGTTTTTCTTCTGGTTATCATTCAGATCTCCAGTGTCTCCTGCCGGACACTGTTTATGATACTTGAACTAGGCTTTCTGTGAGTGATGACATTCTCCTTCATCCCTGTGGCAAAGGCACAAGACAACTATATTCACTTGACTAAAGCCTTTCATACCAGGAATATTTCTACCTCCTCCCTTTTTGTAAGAGTGGCGTTCAAAATGTATTCGCTATTCCTCTGTAATAGCTATAAGCTTATCAAAGGAGATTATTTAAGCACAAATCTAAAACACATCACTCTAAGCAAGACACAAATTACTTAAATATACTTGCCAATAAGTTAGTTACTAAGGGCAGAAGAAGAAACAGAAACCCAAAACTTTGAATTCCAAATATCTGAAACCACCACATGGAACACCTTCCTGGTTTTGTCCTTGCCAAAACTGTTAATATATTTCAAGAGAGCAGAGGACTCACCTGGAATCCTGATGAAAGACCAGCCATTCTGAGGCCTGATACTCCATAGTCCTCCAGCTGGCTCTGGGAAGAACTGGGACCGTTGATTTAGCCAGTCTGCTGCCAGTTCAGGGGCCCCATTCAACAAACACTGCTTGGCTGCCAGACTCCCTCCTTCCTTCAGCACTCGCCGCTCATACTCTGCACTTCGGTCATTGCAGTAAGAATCCAATGGCACTGCGGTGACCTACAATCAGAGTCAAATGAGATGGTTCTTTCACATTTTCCACACCCACTAAGCCCTTTGGGAACCTCAATTTTGAAATCAACTAATTGTTGGGCTATGTGTTTTTACCTTCCCTGATCTAACAAACTAAACTTTCCTTAATAATGATTTAGTGAGCCTTCCCAGGTAAAAGGTCAACCTCTTATAACATGAACCTACAACAAAATTAAAGATCCAAAGAGTGTTGGAGTTTGTGGATAAACTAGGATATCAGGTCAGGAATAATTCTATCATTCATATATATATAATGGCTTTGAAAATCCCTACACTGCTGGATGTTGCTTTGGCAAAGTTGTATTTGCCAAATAGACTTAGCAAGCAAGATTTAAGTAGAAAAGGACTTGTTGCCTCCTATTGGACCTCATGAGTTTGCTGCTTACGTATTCACAACATGACATTCTATGATTCTTGTGTATACCTTGATCCAGGGCTCCTGCCAAAGAAGCTTACCAAAACATTAAAAGATATTTCACTAAGAACCGTTTTTGAACAAGCACCCAGCATCTTAGGCTGAGCCTTGAAAATACTGCCCTGGGGTATATAAACAGTCAGCTAGCTTACTATAGAGCTGCAGGTGTCTCTGCAGAGGAATAGCGAATACCAAAACCAGAGAAAGAGCATCATTTACCAAAACCCACAGAATGTGCTCACGGATGAAGCTGACCTGAGTTTGCTAGGGCGCAGTGCCATCTGTGGTCCAGATGCAAAACTACAGAGGATCACAGCAAGCTGGGCCCCTAGAGCTCCAAAATGCAGACGGGCTCACACAGAAATTGGCTTATCCGGGAGGCACTGAGATTTCGATCATCTCATATTATCTATCCTCTCCACAGGAGTTTATTTCCAAGTTATATTTTTCCCACTGAAAGTTGAGCATAGGTAAATAAACACTGAAATACAAAACAGGTGGATAAAAATTGGGCCTTTCCCTGCTATGGTTTGTCCTGACAGTGGACCGGAGCCAACATCTACCCTCTAAGGTGTGAGTACCAGAACCTCACAATCAATATCTGCTAATTCCATAAAAATGGCTAAGCAAGCAGTGGTCTCGACTACAGAATGAGCAGTTCTATAAATCTCAAATAGCATGCTTTCTGTTGGATGAGTAGAACAGCCTATGGGAGATTAATGGCCAATTTTACAAAGATAACTGCTTTGGGTTGTTTTGCTGTTTGTTTTATAGATCAGCATAACTTATGTAAAAGACTTTGGGCCCACAGTCTCAAAATGAAAAATCAAAAGCTAGAAATTCAGCCTGAAGTGAACAGCGACACAGGGGAAAACGTTTTCCCTGCCTGGGACTCATTACGAGGCAGTCTTATTAGTTTAAAAACAAACCAACTTTTTTCTGTTATAAACTTTCACCCATTTCCCAACTCTCATTTTGCTGACATCCTTCCAAGTCCAGGATTGAGACTGGGAGGTTTGCGAGGCACAGTTCTTAGTGAAATATTTTTTAATGTTTTGATAAGCTTCTTTGGCAAGAGCCCTGGATCAAGATATATGCAGAACATAGAACGTCACGTTGTGAAGACGTAAGCAGCAAAGTCATGAGGTCCAACAGGGGGCAAACAAGTCCATTTCTAAGTCAGCTCTGTCCTAGATAGTCTTGACCCACGTGGCCTTCCTGATGGTTCAGGAACAGGGGCCGATGAAGCATGACATACTATTTTCCCTTCCCACAGATGGAAATGCATACTCCTTTCAGTACAACATAAGCTAACCTGCTTCTTGCTTCATTAACTTCCTAAACTCAAGTGTCTCAGGGGCCGCCTCCTCAAGCATTCAGCGCGTCCTTCCTGAGGACACGTATGTTCCTGCTCTAGCTCTAGGAAGCGTGACCGCTCCAAGCGCTAGTTTTTTCATAAGATGAATCTCCAGGTCTAGTTTATGACCCCTGCAGAATTATGTTCTGAACTAATGAGAAAACAGCTCCTATAATTCCTTCCTTAATGGCACAGTTCTTCCTGAACTGACCCTAGTTTTCATAGCATGTGCCAGGAAAATTTATTTGTTTTAATTCAAGGCGAAGGTTGAGGATTCAAAGGAAGTCAGTTTCTCTCCATCAAAGATGGGTGAGAAATAAATATAATTATGATATTGCATGAAATGTTGCCCAACACCCAGGCCTGATCTGAAAGGTAAGAATTAATGTATGTGTATATAAAATATCCAGACATGTCTAAAGTTTTTTTTTTTCTTTTTCCTGGTGTAAGTGTTCCCCATTTTCAGGAGGGGCTGAAGAGGATGCTGGGAAGGAGCCCTAGGTCCAATGATAAAAGCTTTCTCCTACTCGAACTGCTCCCACACCTTTATACACTATGACAGTCTCAACTACTGTTTATTGTTCTCTATGGAACAGCAGCACAATGCATGACGGCTTAGACCAGCGGTTGCCAACAGGTGGTCCACAGATCACTGTGGTCCGTGAGGTCTGAAAGGTTGGCCACCACTGATTTAGACTTCTGCCTCCTCAGAAAACAATACTCCGAAGTACAGTTGGGATGCATGTGTGTGACTATGTTCAGAAAATAGGGTTGTTCTTCAGAGTGGTTGGCTCTAGACCTTAGAATGGTACAAATGAAGAATTTTTATGTCCATAAATGCAATTATAGTTCAAGGCAGTTCTCTTTTTATTGGCTCCATAAAATACTGGGAATATGAGAAGTAAAAATATCTAGATATCCTTCTCTCAAAAATCTAGACTTCCTCTGACCAGGCCTTGCGGTATACACGTGATTAGGAGAGGGAAACAAAGCACACACCGTGAAGCCTGAAGGCTGCCTTCTATGGGAGCACGTGGCTTTAGATATTTCCTTAAAAAAGTGCATTTCTCTGTATCCACTGGACAGTCAATGTAAACCAAATGAAGAGGACAGTAGCAAGGGAATCAAATTCGTGTAACACGTGACCAGCAGAAAGAAATCTAGGCAGGCAGGAGTCCGCGGGTCTCAATAATATCATCTCATTTCCAGTCATCATCTTTCTTTGGACCCTCTGCCGGATTCTAATCTTTGATAACTTAATAAAGATGGAAGCTGATATAAATGATGGTAGAAAAAAAATCACTAAGGAATGTTCAAAAGATTCTACCTTCTCTGAATAGAACTGAGAAAAATTAAACTTGCTAGAATGAGGGAAGGAAACAAGAAAAAAAGCAGGGTAAGAAATGTTAACATCTTAAGAGTCTCCTTGCTACATGAAAGCTGCCCCTGAAAGCAAAAGAAAACAAGATAGGAAGACAGAAACTTGATCTTTGCTCAAAGAATCTAGTCACATCTCTACCCTGCCTCTCTTCCCTCCATATACTTCATTGAGGTTGTATCTGGCATTGGTCAATAGGACGGAAAGAGAGAAGATGTAAGCAAAGTAAACCACCACAGCATGCCAAGGGGGCAGCCTTTGCAGCAATGCTGTCAATAACCACCTGAGTTTTAGTAAACAGGTTATAGGAAGAATCCAATAGGTGCTCCAAGTTAAAACTGCAATAAAAACTACCCCCAGTCTATAAATAAGACCATGACTGCTGAATGGCAAATACTGCACAACAGTCACTTTTCAGAAGGAACACACTTGTGAACCATGGTGTAGGCTGAGGAAAGTGAGAACACTAGACTAAGAAGTCTCCTGAAGCCAGAGTGTTATGTTTCCTTTTGTTATTTGGAGACTGCACTGAGGCGATAAGGCCAGATCAAATCTCATTGCCAATCTGGCCCCCTCCTCTGAAAAACCCTCAAAAACCTCAATGCAGGTGACAAATGGCTCCCTCTTCTTTTCAAATATTCCACTGTCCCTGACCTGTTGTCAAATATCACAACTGTTGTTGGGTGATAATCTACCTGACAGATGGCTTGCTGCCATGGTAGATTAGAGCCCCTGACTAAGAACTACAGAGGAGAGACAAGGTCAGAGGAGAAAAAACACAATTATCTACCATTCAACTATTCTTTTTAAATTTTTTACTTTTTAATCCTCACCTGAGGATATGTCTACACTGATTTTAGAGAGAGACGGACAGGTGAGGGAGGGGAGGAAGCAGGAAGGGGGGTAACGATAGGTTGCCTCCTGCGTGTGCCCCGACAGGGGAATCGAATCCATAACGTGGATATATGCCCTGACCGAGAAGCGAACCCGTGACTTTCGGCACATAGGAGGCTGCCTCCAACCAACTGAGCCACACTGGCTAGAGTCAATACAATTTTTAAACTAGCCCAGTTCAAAGTGAGAAGTGCTGTCTTGGGAAAGCCACGACTGTGGTGAGGATGCTTTTTCTAAATACTAAGGATTTGTATGTTTCTCAAGGTCCAAATAGCTTAAAACAGTCGTTTAAGATATGGATGCCTTGAAAATTTGTTTATTTCTTTTAATACCATCTACTTTGTCTCTTCCCTTCTGTGGCACTTACTCGTGGACTGGCCACACACAAAAAAGACGGCAGCTCAGTGAGCAGGCAGCAACGAAGTGAGGAGGTAGCTGATCTCCGCTGATGGATGACCTGATCCGAGTAGCCACTCACTGCTTTACAGTGGCTGCTGAAAACCAGAGACTACAAAACAAGAAGTCAAATTAGAGCCATTGATAGTTACGGTTAATGTATTCAAAACTGTAGAAAATATCACAAGTTAAACATCTGATTTAAAGGCATTCTTCTTACCCTGTTACCCCAAAAATAAGACAGCGTCTTATATTAATTTTTGCTCCCAAAGATGCGCTAGGTCTTATTTTCAGGGGATGTCTTATTTTTCCATGAAGAAGAATACGGTACACATTTATTGTTAAGTGAAAATAAAGGAAATTTATTACCTGTATACGGTACGGTAGTACGGTAGTTGTCAACACAAACCAGACAAACTGTGAATCTTACAGTATCAAGAATTTACTCATTTATTCAATGACAATCATGTCATCAGCTTCTGAAACATCATCATAACAAACCAATTCCTGAATTTTCCTGGTGAATTTCTTGTGACTCCATTTCTTTCAGAATCAGTGGACCAAATCTCTCATGTTTAGCCTGGGGGGGGGAGGGGGCTTATTTTCAAAGGGATGCCTTATATTTCACTCAGAAGGAAACCTGTAAGTAGGTCTTATTTTCGGAGGATGTCTTATTTTCAGGGAAACACGGTAGTATATATTAATTCTAATAAACAGATACTACTTAGAACCAAAAGTATATTATAGACAAAGTCCATACTAATTTCAAAATGTGGTTTTATTAAAGTACCTAAGCATCATTTCTAATTCTACCTTTTTCTGGAAAAGATGCTGTTAATTATAAATGGTGATAGCGGAACCTTCATTCGAGAAAACACTATGTATGTATGTGCAGGGGAATGTGGTCCATTTGTTGTACCATTGATGCAAACTCAGGTCTTTTTTTTTTTTTTTTTTTTTTTTAATATGTTGTTATTGATTTTAGAGTGAAGAGGAAGGGAAAGGGAGAGAAACATCAATTGGCCGCCTCCTACACAACCCCTACTGGGGATCGAGCCCGAAACCCAGCCATGTGCCCTGACCAGGAATCATACCAGCAACTGCTCAGCACACAGGGCAACAATAAAACAGCAACATCGGCCAGGATGCAACCTCAACAATGACCACCAACAAAATTTTCTTTAAGGCAAATGTGCTTAGCATCACATGTGTGTACTAACACAGTGCAGTGTAATTCTAGTGATGTTAGCTATTTTATTTATGCAGTGACATCAATACAAGTGGTCAGGAAGAAAAAACAGTATCTCTTTAGTTCCTCTACCTGATTATGATTTAAAAAACATAAATTCTTCAGTTAGATTACTGTATCAAAAGTTCATTTTCTTTTATTTTATTGTTAATCCTCACTAGAATCTAGATATTTCCCCTCTCCCCCATTGATTTTTTTAAAACATTTTTTGTCTTTATTGTTTGTTTGTTTTTAATGTATTTTATTGATTTTTTTTACAGAGAGGAAGGGAGATAGTTAGAAACATCAATGAGGACCTCATTGATTTTTTTGAGAGTGGAACGAGAGGGAGCAGGGGAAAAGAAATATCAATGTTGAGAGAAACACACAGATTGGTTGCTTCCTGCATGTGCCCCAACTGGACCTGGGAATCAAAGCTGCAGCCCAGATACATGTCCTTGACCAGAAATCGAACCCACCAGGAATAAAACCCGAGACCTTTTGGTGCAACAGCCAATGCTCCAACTACTGAGCACATCAGCCAGGGACTGATAGTTTTGCAACATTGTCTATGTACTCATCTTTATGTTGGCTAGCATCTACATGGAAGTTTATTCATCTCTCTACATGTTTATGTCCATTATCCTCTGAATGCCTAGCGTGAGTATCATTATGATTATCAGACTGGGTGTCATCTGATTCTTCCAATACTGAATACTGAACAGCCAGGGACATTACTTTAAAAACCCTATTAATGACACACAGGTAAAGGTTAAAAAAAATGAAGCAGATTTTATGGTTTTCTGAAAGCGCATTTCTGATTATCAGTGGCAGCTACTCTTGCCCCTCCTGGGAGTGGAGAGAAGACACAAGTCTAACAACCACTGCTCATATCACACCCAGCTACAGTACTAGTAGGGCTGCGAGTTGGGATGTCCACTGCCACTCAGGTAGCTGAGGTAGCAGCAGTAGCTGACCTAAAGACCTTCTTACTCATTTGTTTATTTCATCCTCACCTGAGAATATTTTTTCCATTGATTTCTAGAGAGTGGAAAGGAGGGATAAAAGGGGGGGGGGTGGGTGGTAAGAAAAACACAGACATAAGAGAGACAGATCAATTGGTTGCCTCCTGGATCCTTTGGTCAGCAGATAAACACTCTAACCATTGATCAGCTGCCTCCTGCACAGCCTTAGCCTGAAACTGGGGCATGTGCTCTGTCTGGGAATCAAACTGACCCAATGGTTCACAGGTCGATGCTCAACCACTGAATCACACTTGCTGGGCAAAAAGTCTCATTTTAAGTGAAAGGGCATAATATTTATAAATCAACTGCTAGACTACAGGGATTCTAGTTTCAGAATATTTTAAGTGACCAAACAAAAACAGGGAAAATAAAATAGAGACAAAGCCTGAACACAATGGCTTCCCAGAGCTTTGTACAAGAGATGTTGTCAGCTCTCACAATCTAAGGAAATGATAGACAGATAGATAGATAGATACTGTAGTTTCAAATTAACATTTAGTGAAAAAGTTTTTGAAAACTTCCTGTTTAGGGGATTCTTCTTCAATAGTCAAAGCTCTCTAAGCCTTTAATAGAGAATAGTATTTAAAAGTTACACACCACTCTTTAAAAAAAATATTATGTTTAGATCCTTTTGTATAATTTAAATTGCAAAATCTGAAATGTCCCCAATTTCATGAGGTAGTTGGCTTACTACAGTTGGAGCATATATAAGCTTTCAATACATATGATGCCTAATTACCATGAAAAAGTTTTAGACTGAGATAGGAGAGGGAATTAATGCTGGTACTTTGTTCCAGTCAATCCTCATTCTTAACGTAACATTTAACTGGTTATAGTATAAAATCCGTTTTTCCTCCCCAAAAGATGGTTAAATGGTATATTTCCTACAGAATCTTGTTTTTATCTAAAACAATAACAAAAAAGATTCATATGTGTGAGACTTGCATTTTTTTTTGACAGTTGCATTCTTTAATCTCTGCAAAACCATACAACAAAAGAGTTCTGTCTAAAGCCCACAGTGGCAAGGGAAGTATATGATACTAAATTTATGAAAATTTTTAACTAAATACTATTTCTTGAAATTCTCACCAACAAAGTAGGGTGGAACACAATGAAATTAACTGGAACATAGCATAACAAAAGAAGAAAATATCAGATAAGCATTCATTTCAAGAGATTTTTAAAAGGCCCCAAACTGTGTTTAAAACAACAGTGTCATCTGTTACTCCTTTGATGTTTATGTATTACCCCAAAGGCATATTATTAAAATGGTACTTGAACTCTGTAACACAGAATTCAAATTTCATATTCACCTCCAGGTGAGAACAAGGGTATGCTGGAGGGAAAAAAGAAGGTTTTCACTGTCCAGATTCATTGCATTCATGCTGGGTTGGGGGTAAGAGTCAAGGGAAAGAACAACGTTAGGACTGGGTTAGAATGCTGACTATGATCTCAATAGTATGTGACCTGTGACAGCTCACCAAGAATAAGATGACAACATGTAGCTAAGTCAACACTCATTATCTGTCCTCAGAAGAATAAGAACAAAGCCTTCACCTCAGTTCTGATAATAGAAAGCTGTATTTAGGAGATAGGTTACTGGAACAATACCTACTACTGTTTATAAAAGAAATGAAGGCATAAAAGGGAAAAGAATGAAGAAGTCTCTGCCTTAAGAGGATAAAGCTCACTATGTAAAAACTGATTCAAAGTTAATTTGGTAGCTACAAAAGAATTTTAATTCAAAATTATTATTTGAATAGTGCAAGAGAAAGATTCCTGACACTCACTTCTGATTTTAGCATTTCCCCTCTCTCATTTCTTAGGTCTGTCTGCTTGAGAATAATACCAACCTTTACTTTTAAGACTGATCTTGAACACGGAATTTAGATTCAACTCACATATTCTTCCCTCAAAACTTTGAAACGTAATTTGTGTTTACTTGAATATTAAAACAAGGCTACTCCACTTCCTAGTACCACAGAAGAAAGCAAAACAGAGTTGGAGTAACAGCATCTCTTCAGCATTATGTTTATGAATAATAAAATTTATATAATCAGAAATAAATTGACAAATCAAATGAAAATGAAAAATATAGAAGGGAACAGTTTGAAATGAATGCTTATCTGATATTTTCTTCTTTTGTTATGCTATGTTCCAACAAATGAAAATAAAAACTTTTTGCAAGGAAAAGTTTTGCTCACAAGGGGTTATGTCTTATGAGCAATGAATTCCTCCTGTTCGAGATGAAAGCTAGATATTATACTGTATATGATTTGCTGTGGCTAATAAAACTATAGACAAATGAATGACCTGGAGAGCAGCGAGAAATACCAACATCTTCTCCGGTTTAAGAACTTTCATGGTGTCACAGTCAGAACTTGTCTAAAGCCTAAGCCAAAATCTCAGAACAGCCGAAACCGGTTTGGCTCAGTGGATAGAGCTTCAGCCTGTGGACTGAAAGGTCCCAGGTTCGATTCCGGTCAAGGGCATGTACATTGGTTGTGGACACATCCCCAGTAGGGGTGTGCAAGAGGCAGCTGATTGATTATTCACTCTCATCGATGTTTCTGACTCTCTATCCCTCTTTTCCTCTGTAAAAAAATCAATAAAATATATTATATATTTTAAAAAAATCAGAACAGTGAATACCAAAACAAACTTTATAACGAAGTAACCAATATAAAGGCATCAGCCCAGCAGTAAGGTCTATGGTCCTTTTGAGATGTTCACAATTTTTTGGATATTCCTTTCTTCAAAAGGTGGAGTATAATTCCCTTCCCCTTGGGTGTGAGCTAGATGTAATGTCTCCCAAAACTAGTTCATAAAGCACTGTGGCTCCTCCTCACTCTTTCTCTTGAGTCATTCACTCTGGGGGAAGCCAGCTGCCATGCCATGAGGACATTCAAGCAGCCTCATGGAAAAGTTGATACAGCATGGAACTGAGGCCTCTAGCCAACACCACTTGCCAGGCATGAAAATGAGTAACCTAGGAAGCAGATGCTATGGCTCTAGTCAATCTTTCAGGTAACTGTAACCTAGCTGTTATTCTGACTTCCTAAGAGCCAGAACCACCTACCTGAGCTGCTCCCAAGTTCGTGACCAAAGAAAACTGTGAGATATAAAATGTTTTTTGTTATATAATAAACTGCTAGGTTTTAAGATAACCTGTTATGCCGAAACCGGTTTGGCTCAGTGGTAGAGCGTCGGTCAGCGGACTGAAAGGTCCCAGGTTCGATTCCGGTCAAGGGCATGTACCTGGGTTGTGGGCACATCCCCGGTGGGGGGTGTGCAAGAGGCAGCTGGTCGATGTTTCTCTCTCATTGACGTTTCTAGCTCTCTATGTCTCTCCCTTCCTCTCTGTAAAAAATCAATTAAAAAAAAAAAGGTAATCTGTTATGTAGGTATCTGTATAATAAAAGCCTACGCAACCATTATGGCTGAACGACCAGAACAACCTGTCACTATGATGCACACTGACCACCAGGGGGCAGACACTCAACACAGGAGCTGCCCCCTGGTAGTCAGTTCACTCCCACAGGGGGAATGCTGCTTAGCCAGAAGCTGGACTCACACCCACAGTGGTGGCAGGCACCTCTCACACCTCCATGGCAACACTAAGGAGCAGCAAGCCGAGTGATAAGAAGCCAGCAGGCAGACAATAAGGAGCAAGAGGTCCCGGACTGCCAGAGGGCGCAGGCCAGGCTGAGGGAATTTCATGCACTGGGCTGCTAGTAGCTATATAAGGGCTAATATCCACAATTGACCATTTTTGCAATTACTCTTGAAATTTCCATACATTAACTACTTCTATTAATACTAGTATCCCTCAGTGTCAAGAAGCATAATTAGCCAAAATTGGTTTGGCTCAGTGGATAGAGTGTCGGCCTGCAGACCGAAGGGTCCCCCGTTCAGTACCAGTCAAGGGCATGTACCTTGGTTTGGGGCACATCCCCGATAGGGGGTGTGCAAGAGGCAGCTGGTCGATGTCTTTCTCTCATCGATGTTTCTAACTCTCCCTCTCCCTTCCTCTCTGTAAAAAATCAATTAAAAAAAAAGATAAAAAAAATAAAAAAGAAGTACATTTAGTTCTCAGCTCAAATGCAGGACAAAAATAACTAATGTACAAAATAAAATAAAAAATCAATAAATGATTAAAGTTACCAATACTACTGATGTTTCCCAACATGTAAGAAAAAGTTAGGATTCTTCACAAAATTCTATTTTAAATACTGAAAAATATTATACTTAAAAAAATCATCTCTTAAAGACGTTTTTATAGGTTTTAGAGGAAGAGGAAGCAGAGGAGAGAGAAACGCTGATGTGACAGATAAACTCGATCGGTTGCCTCCTGGATGCTCCTCGACTGGGAATAGACTTCGCAAACTATCTAAGAGCCCTGACCAGTAACGGAACCTTTTGTTTATAGGATGACGCTCCAACCAAGTCACTCGGTCAGGGCAAGATTAGACTTTTAATTTTAGGCTGAAGGGCATTCCCTGAGATAAGAATACACATCAGGTTCCAAAGAGAAAAACAACAATAATACAATGCACCAATACTCACAGGTCCCTCATCAAACATTTATAGAAAAGGCAAAAGTAGGATAGTGATTACCTTTATTAATTTGTTCTGAATTAGAGGTATTAAATCAGAAATAACATGAGGGAGACTTACTTCTATGGGTGCTAGAAATGTTCTATATCTTAATGTAGATAGTTGTTGCATAAGTATTTTACACATGTATAAATTCAGAGAGTTGTGCACTTAAGGTCTGTGTTACAGTAAAGTTCTATATAACATATATGTTTTCTATATACACCTAAGTATCAATATACTGCTCCCACTGCTCTGGGAACTTTTTGGCTCCATCAGGCCATTATTTACTTTATTGGTTCTTTTACTGTAAAGGGAATGGAGTACTACTTGGATAGCTGATGCTGAAATAATTGCTTACCTTTAACAAAGGGCAGCTGCAAAGATTGGGAAAGGAGAGTGGAAAATTAACGCCTAGAAGGAAATCCTTGTTGCTCAGATATCTCTGCTGGCTCTTCCCTTCAGGATCTCCCCAGGAGCGCAGCTGATGGAGCCTGTAGGAGGCTTTCAGAGACAGGAAAAGAGCTAACCATCTGAAACAAATCACAGCAGACATGCTTATTCAGTGCTCCATGGAGGTTTGAGGGTAGTTCACAGTAGTGAGGAACTTTTGTCTCTCATTAACATGTCTCTTTCCTAAATCTTGAGCATTTTATTTTATTTATTTATTTTATTTATTTATTTTTTTATCAATCTTTATTGTTCATATTATTACAAAGGTTCCTCATTTCTTCCCCCCTCCACCAGGTTCCCACCCCACCCTCCGTCCCCCCCCCATCCCCCATTGTCCTCATCCATAGGTGCAGTTTATGTTCAGTCTCTTCTTCCCTCAATTTCCCCAATAGTAAATCCCTTTTCAGATAGTAAATCAGTTACTTAGCATTTTCTCATATCAATAATACCTCCACATGCCCAAGATACACTTCACACAAAAGACATTTCCCACTAGGTCAACCAGCCTCATCCCGGCCCCACCCAAGGCACTCACAGATCAACACCCCAGTCCTAAACTAACTCAACACATCCAGATCTAAGCCTTCATCACTTGATTCAGCAGACCCTCAAATTCCCACGAAAGTTTCCAGCCATGTCTGAGAGGCAGCCGTGGAGCAGGGGCAGGCAAGGAGCGAGCTGTTCTGGGTCTGGCTGCTCAGGGCCTGGCCTCTGTTGCTCTGGTTCCTTCCACAACCAGCTGCTCCGGGTCTGGTCACTGCCGCTCCCGACCTAGTTGCTCAGGACTTGGCTGCTGCTGCTCCGGGCCTGGCCGCTCCCAGCCTGGCAGCCGCTGCACCGGGCCTGGCCGCACCCGACCCGCCTGCTCCCCCGGGCCTGGCCGCTCCCAGCCTGGCAGCCGCTGCTCCGGGCCTGGCCGCACCCGACCCGGCTGCTCCCCCGGGCCTGGCCGCTCCCAGCCTGGCAGCCGCTGCTCCGGGCCTGGCCGCACCCGACCCGGCTGCTCCCCCGGGCCTGGCCGCTCCCAGCCTGGCAGCCGCTGCTCCGGGCCTGGCCGCACCCGACCCGCCTGCTCCCCCGGGCCTGGCCGCTCCCAGCCTGGCAGCCGCTGCTCCGGGCCTGGCCGCACCCGACCCGCCTGCTCCCCCGGGCCTGGCCGCTCCCAGCCTGGCAGCCGCTGCTCCGGGCCTGGCCGCACCAGCCCCGCCTGCTCCCCAGGGCCTGGCCGCTCCCAGCCTGGCAGCCGCTGCTCCGGGCCTGGCCGCACCAGCCCCGGCTGCTCCCCCGGGCCTGGCCGCTCCCAGCCTGGCAGCCGCTGCTCCGGGCCTGGCCGCACCCGACCCGCCTGCTCCCCCGGGCCTGGCCGCTCCCAGCCTGGCAGCCGCTGCTCCGGGCCTGGCCGCACCCGACCCGCCTGCTCCCCCGGGCCTGGCCGCTCCCTGCCTGGCAGCCGCTGCTCCGGGCCTGGCCGCACCCGACCCGCCTGCTCCCCCGGGCCTGGCCGCTCCCAGCCTGGCAGCCGCTGCTCCGGGCCTGGCCGCACCCGACCCGCCTGCTCCCCCGGGCCTGGCCGCTCCCAGCCTGGCAGCCGCTGCTCCGGGCCTGGCCGCACCCGACCCGCCTGCTCCCCCGGGCCTGGCCGCTTAAATCTTGAGCATTTTAGAAACAGTTCTTTCCTACTTTGAGATAAAACCATTTCATATTTCTGTTCTATAAATTCTACCTTTTGCATGATGTGGCTTCCTACTATGAAAACTAAAATTCTCTGTAAAGCTCATCTCAATATTGAAGAATATTCAATCCTACCACAAAAACTCCATCATGAAAACATCCTCCTATTAGGGAGAGAGCTTTGCCTAATGAGGTCACTCTTTATTACATTAAAGCAATGTAGTAAAATAAAGGAAAGCCATTATTACAAAGAATAAGATCACAGAACTAAGTTTCCCAGAACATTTAAGCAGGCTATGCTGTAATCATTACTAACTAAAGGAATCATTTGCGCTGCAGAAGTGAATAAAATATAGTAGACTAATTAGAAATTAAGAAGGCCTGAAGACCTGGGAGCACTTGGGAGGAGAGCCTGATTTTTTTTTTTATGGTACTAGAGGCCCAGTGCACAAAATTCATGCACAGGGAGAGTGGGGGTGTCCCTCAGCCAGCCTGCACCCTCTCCAATCTGGGACCACTCTCACAATCCAGGACTGCTGGCTCCCAACTGCTTGCCTGCCTGCTTTCCTGATTTCCCCTAACCGTTTCTGCCTGCCAGATTGATCACCCCCTAACCACTCCCATGCCAGCCTGATTGATGTCTAATTGCTCCCCTGCCAGCCTGTTTGCCCCTAACTGCCCTCCCCTGAAGGCCTGGTCCCCCTCCAACTGCCTTTCCCTGCAGGCACAGTCACCCCTAACTGCTCTCCCCTGTAGGCTTAACTGCCCCCAACTACCCTCCCTTGCAAGCCTGGTCCCTCCCAACTGCCCTTCCCTGCTGGCCTGATTGCCCACAACTGCCCTCCCCTGCAGACCTGATCCCTCCCCTGCTGGCCATCTTGTGTCCACATGGGGCAACCATTTTTTGTGTTGAAGTGATGGTCAATTTGCATATTACTCTTATATTAGATAGGATATCATGTGGCATCCAGCAATTATCAAATGATTAAAAGAAAACTAAGACTTCCTAATATAAATTTTCTTTTTAAAAATATTCTTATTGCCATCAGAGAGGAAGGGAGGAGAGAGAGATAGAAACCTCAAAATGATGAGAGGATCACTGATCGGCTGCCTCCTGCATGCCACACACTAGGGATTGACCCTGCAACCAGGCACATGCCCTGACATGGAATCGAACTCTGACCTCCCAGTTCAACCAGAGCCACACTGGCCAGGCCCTAATATAAATTTTTAACAATAGAAAAAGGATGAGAGGCCCTGTAAGATATAACATTACATGTTTAACCTTCATAGTATTCAACCTTTGTCCTTGTTTATTTCCAATGGCTTTCTCATCAAACAACGAGCAAACTCCTCACTCACCTGGCCAGAAGTCCCTGAAGCATGAGGTTTGCCATTTCTGCTGGCGATACATCAATAAACCGAAGGAAAGAAAAACAGCTTTCTTCATTAACACCTAGAATACCAAAAGACAAAGTTAAACACAATAACAAGCCAAGAGATAATACTCAACTAAAACCTGTTTGCTAAACTACTAAATTTTGACTTAATAATAAAAACATATTTTAAAGATTCTGAACCACAGCTACTTTGATGGAAGTCAGGGTGTCATATTTTTGTACCACAATCATAAGGAGAGTAGGCAGACCTATGAGAGATGGCACAGATGAGCTACAGTAAAGTTGGCTCATTAGTTACATTTGGGGTTTTTGGATCCTTGGCTAACAGCCTTTCTCCTTTTATCATACAAGACCAAAAGAAAAAAGCAAAGGACAGAAGTAAGAGATTCTGAATTATGGAACCTTTACCTTAATACTATGGACAATGTTCTAAGTGGAGCAGCTTCTTTTGCTTAGACTAATAAGAATCATGCACTGTCTCTGTCATGCCTCTAGAGTGTTAGAAATTCTTAAGAGTCAGATATGAAATAAAGCTGGAAGGTCAACGTAATATTTTTTTTATTGCATCCTGTTACAGTCACAAATCACAGCATCTAGAGATGAAGATGACTAATTTACTTAAATCTTATCAAGACTTTATAAATAAAAACCTAGTATGCAGGCAAACCACTATTAGTTCCAAATCTGTCACTGAGCAAAACAAAGAGAAACACCCTGAATAATTCTTGGTAAACTATCCTTCCCAAAGATAAAAACACCCACCTTTTCTGTGAAAGAGAGACTGCTGGATATAGTCTGGTGCAAATGGAGAAAGAAGAACCCTTAACCACCTGTAAAATAAGTAAATAAAATAAATTCAAATCTAAATTTGATTAAAAAAATAAAATAAATTTTATTGATTTCAGAGAGGAAGGGAGAGGGAGAGATAGAAACATTATCAGAAAGAGAACAATTGATGGCTGCCTCCTGCACGCCCCTGACTAGAGATCAAGCCTGCAACCCGGGCATGTGCCTGACCAGGAATCAAACTGTGACTTCCTGGTTCATAGGTTGATGCTCAACCACGAGCAACACAGGCCTCTTTTACAGATCTCTTGGTGCAAATGCTAATGGCACACAAGTGCGTATTTCTCATGTGGAAAAGCAGCTAGAAGTGGCCAGCGTCTTTAAGGTCATCCAGTTAAATTCCTTACAGTGCACAGATTTTCCTACCACAAAGATCCCTTAATTATGTTTTAGTGAGGAATTCAAACATTCTTCACTAAGATTTTCTCCACAATCACACATATTACAAAAACAATCTTTTAGAATAAACAGATATTACTATTTGCTCACCTGTCTCGTGAATGGTTGAAGACCCTGATCTGTCCGTGATGGTAGATAAATTTTGAAATCTGGTATGGCTTTAGGGAAATATGAAACGGAGACCAAGTTTCTTGTCGTTCAAATAACTCTGGGTGATTACACACCTAAGAGAAAGGGAAAGAACACAACATTGTTATGAGCAAACATCACTCTATAAATGGTGGGGGATCCCAAACCCTGAATGTTTACTTTTGTGAATAAATACTCTGCCATTTTCATCTTTTTACAGTATTTATGTGGCATCAAGGTTAGAGGCCTTTTACTTGAAGTGGGTTAATAAAGACAACTCCAGGGCAACTGATCTAAGCTCTTACCTTTCTAAACTGCATGACCAGATTCATGAGGCTGCTGGTGGTGGTCTGTGCTTGCTGGGTAGAGCCCATAGAAGATTGCAATAAATCCTCAATAGAAATTTTGTTCTTTAGTGCCTGATATAGTAGCTTTTGTCGACTGGTCAGTTGGCAATACATTAGAATCTCAATCTAAAAACCAGTGAAAACATTTATATTTTGAAAAACAGTTTAGAAGGAAATTCAGTATCAACACATACAAGCCAGATGATTGAAAAAATATATATGCATCTCTAGAAACACATTATCCCTAAAAATCTATGATGTGGTTAATTATCCAGAAATGTGGGGGTTTTTTTCCCTTGATTCTCTTTCCCTGCCACTCAATCTACATGCTGTTCCTGGGCAATTTCTTCCATTTCCAATAGCACCAATCACTGCCCCATCACAGCGACTTACAATAAAAATATATCCCTAAACTCCACTAGCCCCATACTGTCAACTCCCTACTATAATAAAATAGTACCACTCAGAGAGTGCACAGCAGTTTTATGTTTTTAGTAAAAAATCTATTTTTATTTGATTTCAGACAGAAGAGGGGGGAGGGAGAGTTAGATGAAAGAGAATCAGCTTCCATCGGTGTCTCCTATTGAGGATCGAGCCCTAAACCTGGGTATGTGCCCTGACCGGGAATTGAACCCTGACTTCCTGGTTCATGGATTGATGCCAAAACACTGAGCCACAATAGCTGGGCGAAGCAGTTTTATATGTTACATATCAGAAAACAATCATCTTTTCCACAATTTACTAACTTGATTAACAGCATTACCATTCACTGAATTGCCCAAAGAGAAACTTTTAGTCAGCTTTGATTTCCTCTTTCTCATACCCCATGTTTAATCATTTCCTAAGTCCCTCAACTCAACCTAGAAATTCACTTCTTTATTTTTATTTTATTTTATTATTGATATCAGAGAGGAAAGGAGAGGGATAGAAACATCCTATATAATAAAAGCCTAATATGGTAAGTGTCCAGTTGTCTATTAAACCAATTGAAGTGTTATATCTTAATGATATGCTAAGGCTGCTCAACTGCTCACTATGACTTGACTGACCACCAGGGGGCAGACACTCAGACCAGTAGGTTAGCTTGCTTCTGGGGTCTCCCCAATTGGGACTGAGAGAGATGGGCTGGACATGCCCTGGAGCCCTCACGCAGTCCCTCTCTGACCCCAATTGTGCACAATGGGTTCCCTCAGCCTGGCCTGTTCCCTCTCGCAATCCGGAACTCCTAAAGGGATGTCAGATGGCCAGTTTCAGCCAGATCCCACAGGCCAGGCCTTGTGCACAAATCAGGCCTCCAGTCAATGATAAGAGAGAATCATCGATGGGCTGCCTCTTGCATGCCCCCTTCTGGGGACCACAACCCGGCACATGCCCTTGACTGGAATCGAACCTGGGACTCCTCAGTCCACAGATTGATGCTCTTTCAACTGAGCCAAACTGGCTAGGGCTAGAAATTTACTTCTAACCACTCTGGGATAAAAAAGGCCTCCAGGATCCATTTTTAAAATAAAGTATATTCCTTCCATCAGGTACATCTGTGTGACAGTTTCTTTAATTAAAATCTGCCAGTTTCACAAAACAGCCACCCAGATTTTTTAAAAAGAAATAAAACAAAGGTACACTGCTCCTTTCTTTGAAGGTGTGCATCACCATCACAATCTTCCAAAGAGTTACCTAATTTCAAAACAACCCATCCTTCTGACAGTGATGGAGAAGAACTGATATTACCAGGGATCTGGAAAGCTGCCTTTGTTAGAAATAGGTGGACTCTGTGGAATATGGAAAAAAAAACTCCAAAGGGAGTGAGAACTGATAGAAAAAAAGGAGAATTCACAGAAGTCTGATAAAGATACCTGGCCTGCAATATTTATAAACCAAAATTATTGGCTTTGTATGAGAAAAAAATATTATAACCCAAAGCACATTAAATTTCAAAATCTAACTCAGTTGCAGAAATACAGGAGTCAGAAGAACATGTCTGACAACACCATGATGATGTAATTTGCAAAATCCAGTATGTGGGAAACTTTCTAGCACAAATAACTCAGTTTCTTCAACAAAGAATGCAAGAGAAAGCAGAGGGAGGGATTAAAAGATGTTTAAGTCCTGGTCAGTTAGAGAGTCAGCCCAAGGATGGAAGGGTTGCCGGTTTGATTCCCAATCGAGGGATGTACCTTGGTGCAGGCTCAATCTGTCCCTGTCCAGGAGAGTGTGGGAGGTGAACAATCAATGTATCTCTGTAACATCGATGCCTCTTTCTTTCTCTCTCTCTCTCCCTCCCTCCCTCCCTCCTTCCTTCTTTCTCTCTCTCTCTCTCTAAAAACCAATGGAAAAATATGCTCAGGTGAGGATTAAAAAAGATAGAGACACTTAAAAGACATGTCATCCAAATGCTATGTGTGGATCTTGCTTGGATTCTGATTTCAAAAATCTAATTCTGAGAGTGAGAGAAGAGGAGCCGAGAATCAACTGGGGATATCTGAGCACTGACTGCTATGTAATACAATAAAGTAAATGTCATTTTCAGTAGGGGCAATAATGATATGTGGTTATATATTTTTTTAAAGACCAAATTTTTAGAGATATATATGAAAATGTTTATAAATGAAATGAAAGACATCTGGGATCTGATTCAGAATAACCTAGAAAGGTGGGGGATACTAGCATCCATGAGTTGATCATTATTGAAGGTGTATGGTGAGTACAAAAAGGTTCATTGTATTATGTTTCCTACTTTCATAATATTTCAAATTCTCCATAAATCAGACTATAAAACAAGAAGAAAAAATATTATTTGTTGTGATTATCTCATATGAAATCTTTGATCCACTCAGGTTTAAAGGTCTTCTCTGAATCAAACTAATTTACTTTTCAAGTAAACATTTATCAAGAAACATTTTTTCTCCCTGAACCTAAGGTGGTGCCTAATGAGGCTTAATAACTCATAAGGTTTTCTTTTCTTACCTTGTCAGACAATTCATTTTCTACATCTTTCTTGATTCTCCTCAGCATAAATGGCTTCAAGATCATGTGTAAGCGAGAGAGTTGATCTGAAATGCCAGGAGGACCCCCCATAAGTAATACATTAATTTAACACAAACGAAAAGTCATAAACATCTCTCACTAAACTGTTTTAACACCTTTTGGCTTAATGATTCTATGAAAGAAGACTGAAACAAATTTCCCCTCCAAGTAGGAGACCAAGGAATCTGAATTTTCCATAGTATCTTCATACAGTCAACTGGGCAAATGCATTTTGCCCTCACTCAGACCAGAGACCACTTTACTTTTATTAGAATTCACCATTTTTATCAATAAAATAGAGTCCTCATATAGATCTAATACAGGCTATCTGTGGCCCCCAATGTTTCCCAAAATCATGTTTTCAAATTATGTCAGCAAATAACAACTTCTAGTATTTAAGAAATTACTTAAGGACTTTCCTAATAGTTAAAAGATGTAACTTCATGTTTCTATAACAAACACTACATGATTCTCTTAAAAAATAATACTTAACAAGATCAATAGTATTGACACACAATGTTAAAAATGTTCACAATAGAAACAAATTTTAATATAAACAGAAACTAACAAAAATGACCCTTCTAGTATTTTCAGTTTTTATCACAGGAAAAAAGCCTTACTCCAATCCACAAAGGACAGAAATCTGATAGGAGTTTTTCAGGATCTATGTGGAAATCTGACTCTGCCTACTCTGTCTTGATTACCCAACAATACAGTAAAACCTCAATATACAGACTAATTTGGGTGAGGATGTGTGTTAAAGCTGAAAGTACATTATATAATAAAGAAGGTTTTCTGAATGTGAATGTTAAAAAAATTGACAAATCAGTTAGTTTACCTGTTTTTACTCATGTAGACACGTTTGTGATATTAAAATTAACTATGTATGAAAAGCTTAATTTCACAGAAAAGTTTTCTGTATGTGTTCCCGTAATTTTACATTTATATTGGATGGGTCTAATAAAGGTGTACATTCACCAGTAATCTTAAGTAAACAAATGCATGCAGCTACAGTGTAGTTTAGTGAACATGGAAACATCTGGCAAGGCATGCGTCAAAACTGCTGCAGAAAGTCATACCACAAGACAACAGAACCAATTATTGCGCCCAATGAGATGTGATCACGTGATAATCATTCACTGAAGATTGTTTACAAGCGCTGACTCTTGGATTTAAATATGTAAACTATAGTTGGAGATATGTAATATTTATTTTGGCAAAATTACTATAGCGCTTTAACAAAAACAAAAAATTTGTTAATTATAAACAAATCTTTGTTAAAAGCATTTTAAAATTAACAGGGTTTTAATTTTCACATATGATATATGGACCGGAAATTTTGTCTGTTAAATCGAAAGTCTTTTAAATCAAGGTTCACAAAATTAAGGGCTTACTATACAACAACATCATCATCTGAATCAATTAGTCCTTCTTTAGATTCTTTTAAACATAAACAAAGCACATAATTTTTTTTTTTTACTTTTAAAATTATTTATCCAACTTGATTGGTAAATATGTCCTTCAAACATGAAAAACTGATCTAAATATGGCATCTGAAAAAGGACCATAAAAGCTTCTAGTTACTGTATCTATTATTAAATTGTCTTTTTTATCTCAACTATTTCTTTCTCTTTAGACAAATATCCCAATCAGGAGGAACCTATTCTTTTTTTTCTTTTTCTTTATTGAAAAAATAAAAAAAAAGAATAGGTTCCTCAGTATATAAGAAAACATTCCTAAAAAATAGGTTTCTAAGTATACAAAAAAAAATTCTACATATAAAAAAGGCATACAATATGTTTTTGCCTATTCTGATCCGTAGAAGAAAGTTTATAAAAGTACTCACTTTCATCAATGGCAGATTTGTTTTCGGCATGGCTCTCAATGTCCTTGGAAAACCACTCATTAAATTCCTCATGTGAATCAAATAATGTTGGCATAATGAAATGCAGCAGAGCCCAGAGCTGGAAACAAAAGAAAAGTGAAATAGCTGCAAAGCAACAAAATGACAGTGTGAGGGTTTGGAGAGAAAGTTACAGATATGTATGTGTGTATGTTTGTGTCTTGGTGCATGTGTATGTATGAGTGAATGAGAGGGACAGAAACAGTGTGTGGGCACATACTTCATCACCTAATACTAATTATATAAAATGCTACAACAAAATGTAGTTACTTTTCAATTAATTTCAAACTAAAAGTCTGAAAGTGCACGTCCCCTCAGATTTTGCAGTGGAATAGTTTTAAAGATTTTACACATATTAAAAAACCCATTTCACAATTGTATAAAATCTGAGGTAACATAACTTGCTAATAATAACTACAGATCAGAGTTAGCAAATTATAATCTGTCGTGCCAAGTCTGGTCTGCCATCTATTTTTACAAATAAAGTTTCATTGAACATACCACATTTACTCATTTATGGTTGCTTACATATTATAAATGGCAAGGTTAAACAGTGTGACACTGACTGTATGGCAGGTAAAATCTAAAATATTTACTATCTGGCTCTATACAGAAAGTTTTCTGGCCCCTGCTATAGATGATCAATTATCTTTCCTAAAGAAAAAAGTCACCTTTTAATTCTAGCATAAAACATCTCTGCTTTGGATGGGTAACATCCTTAATGTGGTCATTGTTTATTACATAAATACAAAGAAATAAAGTAACTTATTTGCTTTTTGTCAGAGATTAAAAAATAGAAACAATGCAAAAAAACCCACTTAGGGTAATCTATGTTCAAATTCTTCTTTATGTGGGAATTATAATTTGCATAGAGTATTAATACTCAAGGTTGGCATGTGTGAACACTTCAATTCTCTGCTGAAGCCATTCTGTTTAATGCAGACCTAAAACTGAGACCTAGTGCCTACCTCTGCCATGGTGTTCTGGATGGGGGTCCCAGTTAGCAGAAGCCGATTCCGACACTGGAACTGCAAGAGGATCTTCCAACGAACACTGCACAAGAAGATGAATTACAAATTCCAAGTTAGCTATAAATCTTTCTCCACCCATATTTCTAAAAGCGTTTTTCCAAAAAAATAACAAGCACTCAGAATCAACTACTCCACTATGTACACAACTGAAAATATTATTCAACAAAGCTGAGAAAGGAAATTTCAGACTGACTTCTACTTCTATACTGAAAATATGGAACTAGGCTTTACGAAAAAAAGCCCCAAACAAGCCGAGAAGGATCCTTTCTGGCTTGATAAACTCCTCTCTGTATTGACACAAACCAGTTTATTATAAAGCATTCATGTGTAGTAGAAAGCTTTAAAATTGATTTTAGGGGAAGCCTGTGAAAAGAAAATGCAAAGAGAATCTATCATCTACAGCTATGAACATTTCCTACTTTGAAAGAGTGCAATATGAAGAATTGCCCTTCAGATGATGAAGTGTTCCATAAAAAATACTATCCTGCCGGGAACGGTTTGGCTCAATGGATAGAGCGTCGGCTTGGGGACTGAAGGGTCCCGGGTTCAATTCCGGTCAAGGGCATGTACCTTGGTTGCGGGCACATCCCCGGTGGGGGGTGTGCAGGAGGCAGCTGATCGATGACTCTCTCTCATAGATGTTTCTAACTCTCTATCTCTCTCCCTTCCTCTCTGTACAAAATCAATAAAATAAAAAAAATAAAAAAAATACTATCCTTCCAGTTAACATGGACCTTTAAAGAAGTCCTATTTATTCACCAACAGTTAATAAAAACTCCTCAAACCCAAGGTTTAATACTACTGAATAACACTTTATAGTCAAACACTTGCTTACTATTCAGTTTGGGAACTTAAATGTATTAGAATATTTTCCCTGACTGGTGTGGCATACTGCACTGGAGGGTTGCTAGTTCAATTTCTGTCAAGGGCACATACCTGGGTTGCAGATTCATCTTTGGTACCAGTAGAAATGTATGAGGTAGGCAACCAATTGATGTGTCTCTCTCACATCCATGTTTCTGTCTCTCCCCTTTTCTCCCCATCCTCCAGTCTTTCAAAAAAAAAAAAGGGGGGGGGGGGGAAATATTCTCGGGTAAGGATTAACAACAACAAAAAATTATTCAGGGAGAGATCAACCAAAGGATTTATGTGCACACATATGAGCCTAACCAGTGGTCTAGGACAATAAGGGGGTGGGGGCATGAGTTGGGGAATTGGAATGGGACAAATATGTGATACCTTAATCAATAAAGAAATTAATTTTTAAAATAAAATAAAAATTATTTGAATATTTTAAACATTTAACTTCCAATAAAAAGATTCTTGGGGAATTCTAATAACCATCCAGGGATTAGGACAACTTGCATAAAGCATACAGAACCTAAAATCCACATAAATGTAACATTCTACTTCCTATTAAGACCTCCCGTTTATTTATTTTATTATTATTTTTTAAATATATTTTATTGATTTTTTACAGAGAGGAAGAGAGAGGGATAGAGAGTTAGAAACATCGATGAGAGAGAATCATTGATCAGTTGCCTCTTGCACACCCCTTACTGGGGATGTGCCCACAACCAAGGTACATGCCCTTGACAGGAATCGAACCTGGGACCTTTCAGTCCGCAGGCCAATGCTCTATCCACTGATAGAGCCAACCCAGTTTCAGCAAGATCTCCTGTTTAAAATAATCCCTAGAGGAAAGGGCAGATACCACTTTCTCCACAAAAAATTTTCCTTGAAGAACAAAGATCTATTAAAATGTCATAATTATTTAGTAGAAAAACAGAATTAGAAAAATCCTTGTATTTTAAACATTAATATTTATGTTCCATGAAAAATGCAAAAGGGAACTTCTGACTTCTGGTCAGATGAATGGCTTATGGGGAGACCATATCATTCCATCTTCTTTTTAAAAAAAAATATATTTTATTGTTTTTGTACAGAGAGGAAGGGAGAGAGATAGAGAGCTAGAAACATTGATGAGAGAGAATCATCGATCAGCTGCCTCTTGCACACCCTCCACTGGGGATATGCCCGCAACCAAGGTACATGCCCTTGACCGGAATCAAACCCGGGTCCCTTCAGTCCCCAAGCCAACGCTCTATCCATTGAGCCAAACCGGTTTCGGCTCATTCCATCTTCTGAAACCTCTCTGATCTTTATTTTCACAAGTGTATATAGGACACAGATAGAGTTGACCCTTGAACAACATGGGTTTAAACTGTGAGGGTCCACTAACATGGATTTTTTTCAATAATATAGTAAGTGTATTTTCTCTTCCTTATGATTTTCTTAGTAACATTTTCTTTTTTTGTTGTTGTCTTTTTTGTCAATACTCACCTGAGGATACTTTTTCCATTGACTTTTTTAGAAAGTGGAAGGGACGGGGAGAGACAGAGAGAAACATTGGTTTCCTAGTGCACATGCCACAATGGGTCCAGGGATAGAGCCTGCAACCAAGGTACAAGCCCTTGACCAGAATTAAACCCATGATCCTTCAGTCTGTAGACTGACGCTTTAACCACTGAGCTAACCAGCTAGGGCAGTAACATTTTCTTTTCTCTAAAGAAAAAGTTTAGTTTGTTGTAAGAATTCAATATATAATATATGTACATACAAAATATATGTTAAAAAACTGTTTGTTATTGGTAAAACTTTCAGTGTTTGGAGAGTCAAAGTTTTATGTGGATTTTCAACTGGGGGGAATTAGGGGGACTGATTTTGGCACCTTCTAACCACCACACTGTTGAAGGGTCAACTGTGAATCATATTTCTACATATCCTCAGTCCAAAGAGTTTGAGTCCTACTACTCATGTTACCTGGAACTACTCTTGAGCGCCTGAGCCTCATCCAGTACCATGTACTGCCACTTGACCCGCTGGAAATACTTTACATCCTGCACCACCAGCTGGTAGCTGGTGATAACCACGTGGAAGGGAGCATCCTGAGTGTAAAGGGTCTTCTGTAAATATAAGAGGGCAAGGGTGAAAAGAGATACCTAATAATTCATATAAGATAATGAGGAACAAATTGTATTTTCTAAGGCCAAGTTTATAATAGCTCTAAAGAAGTGCTTCTTCCATCTAAGAGATGTACAGTGAATTAAACCACAACTGTTTTTAAAGTAGTCACCTTAATCACAAATCATCTTAAAAACTAGTATTTAGCTTATTAAAGAAAAAAGTTCTTATTTAATCTTGGTCTTCAATCAAATCCAGCTGACTGTCTATAATAGGAAAAATGTTGTAACAATGTAAAAGGAAAAAAAAGTGCACTTGCCTAGTGTCAGAAATATCTAAGAAGGTTTTGTATATGAGAAATTACTCAAATCAATTGAAGAAATAATTATTTATATACATTGAGAGTTACCTGACTCCAGAATCTCCTTATGACTTTTCTATCATGAGGATTTCCCCAATATGGTAGCACCTGGAAAAGGACCAATACATTACTCAGAATGATTTTAAAAGAACCTAAAACAAAGTAAATCTAGAATTCCTCTTCTATCATGGCTTGACTAGCACTCCTCCTCCTGCTGACCAAATTAAATACACATATTCAAAACATCTGTATGAAAGTATCAAAGAGTTAAGCTACCGAGGCAGTGGAGAATTAAAGAGACAAAGTGCAGAAAAGAAAGCAAGCCCAAAAAGGAAATCCTGGCACTTGTACATGTTCCCCCTGAAGTTGATCCTTTCCAAAAGTTCTGGTTGAGAGGCTAAGAAACTGAGCAGTTTTTTGTTGGTGGTGCTTTTCCTTACGAAATGTGGAGCCCACAGAACAAAAACTAGTTCGAGGAGGAGGGTTTCTGATAAGCATCAACCTCCTTGGCCTTAAGTTAGGATCAAAAGGTATATACACATACTAGTAATAAAGATAAACTATATACAGACTGCCTTGGCAGACTCAGTCATTCCTCAATATTTATAGGAAATTGGTTCAAGTACCACCTGAAGATACCAAAACCCATGGATGGCAAAGTGTTTGCATATAACTTACTCATATCTGCCTGTATACCTGAAATCATCTCTAGTTTATTTATAATACCTAATATACTATAAATGTTATGTAAATCGATGTTATACTGTATTTTTTTGGATGACAAGAAAAAAAGTCTAAAGCGTTCCAATTTGTACACTGTAGGCCTAATAATACAGTACACATCAGCACTATACAACTTTCCCACCAAATATTCTTTGAATCCACAGATGGTTGAATCCCTCAGATATGGAGGGCCCACTATACTGAATTTCAGTTTCAAATAATCGCAATTACTGACTAGATTAAGGGGATTTGGATCATCAGTGTCCCAGAAAAATAATTTACTAGTGACAAGAAACCAAAACAAAACTCAAAAACATAGAAATCTTCTCTATGGAAGAAAATAAGTTTCTAGAACCAACAAATATCTTTAGAATTTTCCCCATACACGGTCTGGCTTACTATTAAAACAAAAACAAAAACCAGACATATGGAAAGACCAGACCATTTGATTGAAAAGAGGAAAAAAAAAAAAAACAAAGCCTCAAGAGATCAAGATAATGAAAATATCAGAAAAAAAACTTAGAATTCAATGACATGTTAGATGCAGCTTAAGAAAAAGTTAGTGAACAAGAAGAAAATATCCAGACTAAACCATGGAAAAACAAAAGAATGCTAAGTTCAGCATTTTTGTGTGTGTGATGTCTTTGGGCTTCCTTTCTTTTTATCCAGATAGGGGAAAATTTATTTCTTGAATTTATAGCTTGATGTCTTTTGTAGTTTTCAAAAATCTCAGCCAGATGGAGGCACAAATATGCAGAAAGGAATGAAGATCAATTAAAATAATGAACATGTAATATGAATAAAACTAAATAAATTTAAAATGTATAAATAGAAGGTGTTATGTGGTTAAAAATATGGTACTTTTTAAAAAGTAATACATGTATTCTCCTAGCTATTAACTGAAGAATAAAATGAATATATAATTAGCAAGTTAAGAGGGGAAGAAAAGGAGAAACCAAGATGGTAGCATAGGTAAGTACCTAAACTGCTGCTTCGCACAATTTCAAAACTACAACTAAAAGACAGAACGGACATCATCCAGAACCACAGGAAAGCTGGCTGAGTAGAAATTCTACAACTAGAAGGAAAGAGAAAAAGCTCACAGAAAATCCTATGAGCTGCAAAGAGCTGAGGTATGGAGACATGCACACAGAGAGGAAGAGCAGCTGAGTGTCTGGCTGGTTTTCTCTCTCGGGAGGGGGAAGGAAACCCCTGACTGCACTGAACCCCAGTTCCGGCCAAAACCCCATGGACCCAGGCTCACACGGGGGGGTGGGGCTGGGAGGAGATCTGGACTGTCAGGTGGAAAGGCACACAGAGACTCAGGGGACCTGTGGATGGCAGGGGTCCAAAGGCGCATGTGCACAAGTGCGCAAGTGCATGCAGAGAAGACTGACTGAGGAGGTTGCCACAGGCTTTCCCTAGTGGAAGGAAGTTGAAAGCTCCTGACTACATTGAACCCCAGTTTCGAGCAAGCCCCTGGGGACCCACACTCTTACGGGGGGAATCTGGACTGTCAGGTGGAAACTCAGTGGAACAGAGGTCTGGAGGTGCACGCACAAGTGCAGGGCTGACGGGAAGCCAAGACTATGTGCTCAGCCTTGAGACTCTACCCCATCCAAGCTGAGCACAGAGGCTTTTGCAATTTTGCAAGTCTGGTCCCATCAGGCAGCTTCCAGCACAGAAAGTCTCCTCTCATAGACACAACTAATACTCACAGTAAATTAGCCTGGGAGTCAATTCCTCCCAGTGATACCAACAACAATCAAGACTTAACTACAACAAGGTTGTACACTCAGTCTACAAAGGGGTGCACCAAGAGTGCCCACCTCAGATAATTGGGGAAGCCAACCCACTGGGACATATAGGAAACCTAGTACACAAAGCTACCCTACCAACTCAGGGAAGCAGTGAAAATGCGGAGACAAAGACATATCACAAAAAAGAAATGGAGGAAAACAAACAACTGGATATAGAATTCAACACCATGGTTATAAGGTTTTTAAGAATTTCCTAGAAAAGCCAATAAATTTAGTGAGACCCTCGAGGATATGAAAAAGGACAAACTAGAAATTAAGCATATACTGACTGAAATAAAAAATAATATACAGAGACCCAACAGCAGACGAGAGGAACACAAGAATCAAGTCAAAAATTTGAAGTACAAAGAAGCAAAAAGCACTCTGCGGGAAAAGCAAAAAGAATCCACAGAGTAAGAAGCCTCTGGGACAACTTCAAGCGTACCAACATCCAAATTTTTGGGGTGCCAGAAGAAGAGAGAGAGCAAGATACTGAAAACTTATTTGAAGAAATAATGACAGACAAATTCCCCCACATGGTGAAAGAAATAGACTACAAGTCCAGGAAGCATACAGAATCCCAAACAAGAGGAATCCAAAAAGGACCACACCAAGACACATCATAATTAAAATGTCAAGGGAAAAAGACATAAGAGAGAATCTTACAAGCAGCAAGAGAAAAACAGTTATCTATAAGGGGGCACCCATACGATTATCAGCTGATTTTTCAACAGAAACTATGCAGGCCAGACAGGAGTGGCAAGAAATATTCAAAGTGATGAATAGCAAGAACCTACAACCACGATTACTCTACCCAGAAAAGCCATCATTCAGAATTGAAGGTCAGATAAAGAGTTCATCACCATTAAACCAGAGTTATATGAAATGCTGAAAGGTATTCTTTTAAGAAGAGGAAAAAGACAAAAGTAAAGATAAAAATTATGAACAACAAATACATATCTATCAACAAGTTAACCTAAAAGTCAAGTGAATTAAAAATCTGAGGAACAATAAACTGGTGAGTATAATAGAATCAGGGGCATAGAAAAGGAGTGGACTGACAATTTTCAGAGGGAAAGGGGTGTTGGGGGTACGGGAAGAGACTGGACAAAAATCGTACCCTATGGATGAGGACAGTGGATAGGGAGAGTAAAGGCAGAGGGTGGTGGGGGAACCGGATAGAGGGGAGCTATGGGGAGAAAAAGGAGGAACAATTGTAATAATCTGAAAAATAAATATTAAAAATATTTTTAAAAGGGGCAAAAAAAAAAAAAAAGATAGTAAAATCTAATTAATCCAAATGGAGCCAAGAAAGGAGAGAAAAAGGAAAGTTAAACATGTGAAAGAACTAGAAAGCAAACAGCAAGGCAGATTTAAACTATATATACAATAATTACATTACAAGTAAGCATAAATATCTGCCTATAATAAAAGCATAATATGTAGTTAGACCGGACAGCAGGACAACATTCCCGATGAAGCAGGGGCTTCGAGGGAAGCCCGGGTCCTGGAGGGAAGCTGGTGCCAGCAGCTGGGGGAAGGAAGGCCTGCTCTTGCATTAATTTCGTACACTGGGCCCCTAGTTTCATATTAAAAGATTCAATTCACCAGGATTATCAAATAATTATAAATTTGTATATATCTCAAAGAGCCTCAAAATATATGACAAAAATGAATAAATCCATAATTGTAGAAAATTTTAACACCTCTGTCAGTCAGTAACAGGTCAGGCAGACTAAAAAAAGTCAATAAAGATACAAAAAATGCCGAACCGGTTTGCCTCAGTGAATAGAGCGTTGGCCTGCGGACTGAAAGGTCCCAGGTTCGATTCTGGTCAGGGGCATGTATTTTGGTTGTGGGCATATCCCCAGTAGGGGGTGTGCAAGAGGCAGCTGATCGATGACTCTCTCATCGATGTTTCTAGCTCTCTATCCCTCTCCCTTCCTCTCTGTAAAAATTCAATAAAATATATTAAAAAAAAAAAAAAAAAGGCTGAACAAGTTAAAGTTAGCAAACCTGACTTACTTAACATATATACAACACTACCCTCAACATCTATAGAATAAACACTATTTTCAGACATATATAAAAACTGACCATATGCTGGTCATAAAAGCAAAGTTCAACAAATTTTAAAAGATTAATATCATAAAAAGCAAGTTTGTTTGTTTTTTTTGTTTTTTTTTAATCACAGTGGATTTAAGCTATAATAAGAAAAAGGTACCTAGAAAAACATCCTTTGTTTGGAAATTAAGAACCACACTTTTATTTTATTTTAAAATATTTTTGTGGATTTCAGAGGAAGGGAGAGAGATAGAAACATCAATGATGAGAGAGAATCATAAATCCATTGCCTCCTGCATACCCCCTACTCGGGATCAAGCCCACAACCTGGACATGTGCTGGAGCCGGGAAATGAATCATGACCTCTTAGTTCATAGGTCCACACCCAACCACTCAGCAACACCAGCCAGGCAGAAACCACATTTTTAAATGACCAATGAGCCTATAAGAACTTGCAGTAAAAGCTAGAAATTATTTTGAATTGAAAGATAATAAAAAAATGTACTGGGCCGAAACTGGTTTGGCTCAGTGGATAGAGCATCGGCCTGCGGACTGAAGGGTCCTGGGTTTGATTCCGGTCAAGGGTATGTACCTTGGTTGCAGGCACATCCCCAGTAGGGGGTGTGCAGGAGGCAGCTGGTCAATGATTCTCTCTCATCGATGTTTCTAACTATCCCTCTCTCTTCCTCTCTATAAAAAAAATCAATAAAATTTATTTTTTTAAAATGTATTGGATGGCTATACTCATGCTTAGAAAGCAATTGATACCCTTAAATACACATATAGAAAAAACCAAAAATCAACCATCTAAGTTCCATCTTGAGACATTAGAAAATTAAAAAAAAATTTTTTTAAACTTACAAAAAAAGTAGATAAGAATAATAAAAGAGACTAAATAAATGAAATAGAAAACATACAGAATAGCCTGTATCAGGGATGAAAAGTGGTACATTAACTTTAACATACATCATATTTCATGGGGAAAATGAGTACATGATCACACTAGAACCATAAAACAAGTGTTACTTGCCAAGTAAAATGAACTTTCAGATATTATCATCTTAGATCTAAGTATCTTTTGAATGTAAACTAATTATAAACCTGAACAGAGTCTACACACCTATCCTCTTTAGGGAGGTGAAAACGTTTCTAACAATCTAAAGGAATAGTAGCAATAGAAACAATGAATCAATAAAGCAGAGGTCATCCCACCTTTTCTGTAAATGGCCATGTAATAAATATTTCTCTTTGCAGGCCATACAGTCTCTGTCACAACTACTGAATTCAGCCATAAGTATTACATATACAAAAGAGCATGACTGTGTTCCAATATATACAATTTAAATTTTATACATCATTTGTTACAAAATATTTTTAATCTACAATTTAAAAATGTAAAAACTATTCTTAGCATGCAAGCTATACAAAAAAACAGGTGGCAGATTCCCCAGTAAGTTAAATATAGAATGATTTAGCAATTCTGCTCCTAAATACATACCCAAAAGAACTGAAAAACAAAACAGGTGTTCAAACAAAGACCTGTACGTGAATGTTCACAGCAATGTTATTAACAATAGCCAAAAGGTAGAAACAACCCAAGTATCCATCAATAGATGAATGGATAAATACAGTATCCTATATAATAAAAGCCTAATATGCTAAGTGTCTGGTTGTCCAGTCGGCCATTCAACCAAAGTGTTATATGCTAATGATATTCTAAGGACACTCAACTGCTCACTATGATATGAACAGACCCCCAAGGGATAGACAGTTGACCTGTCAACCAGTCACTACAATGTGCACTGACCACCAGGGGGTAGATGCTATGACAAGGTGGTTAGCTTGCTGCTGGGGTCCGGCTGATCAGGACTGAGCGAGACGGGCTGGACATGCCCTGGAGCCCTCCCTCGGTTCCAACCTCCTGTGTTCCTCCCCAGCCCTGATTGTGCACCAGTGGGGTCTCTTGGCCTGGCCTGTGCCCGCTCATCATCTGGGACCCCTCTGGACATGTCAGAGAGCTGGTTTCAACCTGATCCCTCAGGCCAGGCCGAGGGACCCCGCTGGTGCACAAATTTGTGCACCAGGCCTCTAGAATCCAGATAATAAAATATTATTCAGTCAAAGGAGTGAAATATTGATATATCCTGTAACACAGATGAACCTTGAAAACATTATGCTAAGTGAAAAGAAGACAGACATAAAAGCCCTTACATTGCATGATTCCAGTTATATGAAATATCTAGCTAAAATAAGCAAATCCATGGACATAGAAAGATTTGTGATAACCAGGGTCCAGAGGAGGTTTCTGTTTAACACCATGAAGGAGATTCTACAACCAGATATCAATGATCACTGCACCGTATTACATATGTATTTAAAGCTACTTCACTATACACTTTAAATTGGTACATATTATGTTATGCGTACTTTAACACAATGTTTAAAAACTAGGAGAGCCCTGGCTCTCGGCACAGTGGTTAGAGCATTGGCTGTGCATCAAAGGGCTGTGGTTTGATTCCTACCCATCCTCCCTTGGTGCATTTGTGGGAGACACCAATTGATGTGTCTCTTTTACACTGATGTTTCTTTCTTCTTTTTTTCTCTCTTTCTCTTCCTCTTCTTCTTCCTCTTTCTCTCCCCCCCCCCCCCCCCCCGCCTCCTTACTCCCCCACCGCCACTCCTTCCCTTCTATTCTCTAAAATTAAATGAGAAAAAAATATCCTTAAATGAGGATTAACAACAAAAAAACAATAAAAAATTGGGACAAACAAATGGAAATTGGAATTGGCCCAAAGGCCATAATTTATTGACCAGTAAATTATAACATCAAAAGAAAGTTCAACATGCAAATGAAAGTTCAGTTCACGGATAGGTATAAAGTCAAAAGAGATAACAAAGCCATAAATAGAACTTCATTGCCATCTATTGGTCAATGAAGGAAATACTGAAAATTTAATTTGATGGAAATTTTTAAGAATAAATTTTTAACTTCCTGATCGTTCAACTTGTACTGAACACCTCAAACAACAACAGCAAAGGCAGACAAAAAGGTGGGCCCTGGTCAGGTGGCCTGGATGACTGGAGTGTCAACCCATGCACCAAACCCATGGTTTGATTCTGGGTCAGGGGATATGCCTGGGTTGCAGGTCTGAACCCATCAAGGTGCATAAGAGAGCCAAGTGATAATGTTTCTCTCTCACTTTGATGTTTCTCTCAAATCAATAAACATATCCTTAAATGAGAATTTTTTAAAAAGCAACACAGAAAAAGATGGGGAGCTCCATAACCCACATGACAAATAACTACAGAAATTATTCAACAAATTGCCTTACTTGATTTCTTCTTAGAACATTAAAATTTAGTCAGCCAAGTTAAAAGCTATACTCTTTTTAAAAATATTTTTTAAATTAATTTCAGAGAGAAAGGGAGAGGGAGAGAGAAATAGAAACATCAATGATGGAGAGAATCATTGATTGGCTGCCTCCTGCATGTTTCTTACTGGGGATCGAGCTCGAAACCTGGGCACGTGCCCTTGACCAGAATCCAACCTGGGACCATTTAGTCCGCAGGCTGACGCTTTACCACTGAGCCAAACCGAGTAGGGCAAAAGCTATACTCTTAATGTGCTATGTAAAATTTCTAAATCTTTAAGATTTAGAAAATGCATTGTGCACAGGGAAAAGAAATAGTGCACTTTATGATACTGTAAAGTGAAAAATGTGATGTCTAATATAAAACTATTTAAAATTGGGGGGAAAGGTTTCTAAATCTGTTATACAGCCACAAATGTGGGGCCACAGTCATAAAGGTGTCTCAAAGTAGAATATCCCAGACCCGGCACTATTCCTTAACAAAATATATAACAGAAAAATACCTGCTTCCCATTTCCACTATTTTATGTGTACCCTTTAAATTGCACAGGACCAACAATTACTATGGAGACCCAAAATCAGAGCATTCATGTAAATATCCCCATACATAATCTCCATAAAATCCTCCTCACCTTGCAACTTCATTATCATTATATCTTGGAGGAACAGAACACATATTTAACTTATTTCCCCCCTTTTACTTGCAAACAATAAAATAAATCCTACCCATTCTCTTATATTCCAACAATTTTCCATAATTAAACCTGTTTAAGTCTTGTTCATGTCTTACCTTGATGCAGCATACTTCCTTATTGATCACTTCTTACCTCAATCTAAATTCTTGTCCTCTGAATTAGTTAAAATCAAATTTCACATTACCAACCTTAGACATTACCACATCTATCTTAGTACTAATCTGGACTAAGACTAAAGATCTGGTCCCAGAGGATCAAGAAAACAGGTAATTTATGAATATACTAGAGGGCCAACGCACAAAATTCGTGCAAGAGGCTCAGCCCCCACCGCAGTTTTGTTTGGAAGGACATCCAATCTAATTAGCATATTAAGCTTTTATTATTATAGATGGGGAAGGAATGAAAACCATGCCATATATTACAGGACATGTGCCCTGATGATAAGCCAAAAATCTACATTAAACCAGCAAGGCTATTTTCCATTATGGTAGTTTGACCAAGAGCATCAATTTATGTAGCTAATGTAGCAAATCACTCAAATTGAACTTTGGCTTTCTCACTTATGACACACAAAAATTTACTGCTCCTATTGTAATTTTTATACAAAATGTATGCAAGTTATTTTGGGGGACAAAAAAGTAAGAAATTAAAAACTATTATGAGCACTTTAATAAACAAGAGTCAGAAAGTTTATTTTAAAGAGCAATATAATTTTTGTTGAATGATTTTTACCTTGAATTTAGGAACAAATCTAGTAAACTCCTGATGCCAATTGTTAAGTGTAGAAGCAGGTGAAATTATTAAAAAAGGTCCCCAAATGTTCTCTCTCTGAAACAGAAAAACTGGGTTAGCAAACTGCAGGAAAACTGAAGATATTTAATTCAAAATTATAATTAACTATAAGACCTGTTTAAGAATAGAAAGTACATTGTAACAAAGGAAATGGTGTTTATTCCAACATTACAGCACATTCAATAATATTCTAACTTAATAATAACACAGGAAAGAAGTTGTTCATACACACCTTGAGGAAAAAATAGCAAGCAATTACTGCCTTCCCCGTCCACCTCTTACAGGTCCTAAGTTACATCATTCACAAAGCACTTAGAACATACTAACTTTGTGTTTCTTTCCCCTGTACTAGATGATCATATAATTGTACTGTTATCTAAAGCTTTTGCTTTTTTCAAAATGCTTTTACACATATTTTCTCATTTAATTTTTAAGAAGTTTGCAGAAGTGGAAACAACCTTAGAGAGTTAAAGTGAAGTCAGGTCAAAAAGGTTACATGAATTGTCCAAGTTTACACTGCCAGTAAGTGCAGAGCTGAGGTGTGAAGTCAGGTCCTCTGACCTAACCATACATTGTCTTTGCCACCACACTAATGGTTCTCAACTGAGGGTGGGGGTGGAGGGGGAGGTTGCCAAACCATACATGCTCAAAAATTGTCCTCGTCTTCTTGGAAATCAAAATGTTTCACTACATTATGTTATGCTGTAAAGGCTTTGAAGGCAAGAAGCCAATGCTAATGTCTCAGTATGCTACAGAGCCTAACACAGTGCTTGGTAATGGCTGTTTCTCAATAGAAAATGACCCTAGGATCTAGAGAGAGAGAGAAATAGGATAGCATCTACCCACCTCAGCCAGATGGGCAAGGAGGGCAATGCTCTGTACTGTTTTACCAAGGCCCATTTCATCTGCAAGAATGCCATTGATACCCTGGAAAAAATACACATGGTTAACACCTCTCACATTCCATCATACAGGCTCAACCTACTGCCAAAAAGAACTGATCAAAATGTTAAACTTGTTCAAACAAATGTGACTAGAGATTCCAAGCTTCAGCACTTTATTCACTACTGTAATGATTCATTTAACAACTCCACAGCTACAACTGTGAATCATGAAGCCATTTTTTTAGCTAGTAATCTAATCACAGAAGCAAGCAACTACTTTCCAAGACCACCTAAGACAAACTATACATATAATACAAATATTATCCAATAAAATCTCCATGTTAAAAATACAGAGACATCTTTTTGACTCTTGCCAGCCAAAGGATAAAGCTTTTCAAAAGGAATGAAACCTAAAACATTATCTTGTGCTTATTTCACAATATACTGAACCAATGACTTTAGGAAAACAGGTAACAAGTGAAAGACAATAGGTATAACATAATTCTAAAATTTACCTGTTCATAGAGATTTGCTAACCAATTCATGCCTTTCAGTTGATAACCTTTTAATTTGCCATTAAAAATTGTGGGCTGTGGAATATCCTCACCAGCCCGGATAGATGGATTTGCCAGGCTGTAACTCTCCCCAAACCCACAGCCAGACTTATTTGCTGCCCGTAGGGCAGCTGCTCGACTTTCTTTTGCATCTTCATCAAATGACCTTGTCTGGAAAATAAAAATTTATTAGAAGAAAAATGTAACATCTCTTGGGCTAATTGGAACAAAACGACTGATATGTTATAAAATAATATATCATATTATATATAAAGCAAAATACATTAAAATAGATTGCTAATATTTTAAAATCAATTTAACAATTATATTAAAAATATGCTCTTAATGGACAGACACTAAGCCTTATATATGATTACTTGCTTCATCCAGAAATTTACTGAAGTTTTAATATACACATATTTTTAATTATATTTATTGATTTTAGAGAGAGAGGGAGGGAGAGGAAAAAACATTAATTTGTTGTTCCACTTATTTATACATTCTTTGGTTGCTTCTTTATATGTGCCCTGACCAGAAATTGAACACCCAACCTTGGCATATTGGAACTACACTTTAACCAAATGACTTACTTGACGAGGGTCTAGAAATTTATTAAAGTTTTTTAAAAATATTTTTTTATTGATTTTAGAGAGGAAGGAAGATATAGAAACATCAATGATGACAATCATTGATCGGCTGCCTCCTGTACTCCCCTAACTGGGCATCAAGCCATGTGCCCTGGCTGGGAATTGAACTGTGACCTCCTGGTTCATAGGTAGACACTCAACCACTGAACCACACTGGATGGACTTATTAAAGTTTTAATATAAAATTTGGTTGGTTGGGATTAATGGAAAGTAGGTCGAGTTTATGTCTACCCTTGGCTTGTACCTACCCTACTGAAATTACATATAGGTTCCTAGACTGTCTATTAAATTGTTTACTTAATTCAATACAACTGGAGTTTCTTCCTGACCTCATTAAATATCACTATATCATGAATAAGCAAATTATTACTGAAGTGAATGAAGGTACTAACTTATTAGTTTTCTTAAGGCATAATATAGCTCTCTTAACAAGCAAAAGTGTGGTCTTTTCTAATGCATTTCCAATGTGTTTCCCATGACTTCTCAAGAGAACAAAAAATAGGAAACTTTCTAACTTCAATCAACACATTCCTGAAGCTTAAAATATAAAGGCTCATTTTCCACCTTTCCTTAATCACCTACAGATACACACATTTGCCAATGTTTTTCATATACAATAGGATTAAGACTAAAAGAAGACCGCCGAAGTAGAAGGTTGCGGGTTATTACCGGGCCCATTACAGTTTATCTTTTCATTTTTAAGACTCACCCGAGCTTGATGAATTTGGTAAGCATTTTCAGCATTCTTCAGGGCCTGGGCTTTGAAATGGTTACTATCTGAAAAGGAAAACTTATAGATTATCTACCTCATTAATTGATCTCATTCAAAGATGCAATGCACATCAACATGTTTGGATCCGTGACTCCCCATTCTACTTATCCCTAAGTTCACATAGGATGAGGAAGCATACAGTCTCTGACAGAGGTAAGGAAGTTACAATGGAGGCAGAGGGCTGCCATGGTCTTCCATAACCAAAGCCAGCACAAAAATCACCAAGAGCCCTGGCTGGGTGACTCATTTAGTTGGAGTGTTGTCCTGTACACAAAAAGGTTGTAGGTTTGATTCCCAGTCAGGGTACGTACCTAGGTTGTGGGTTTGATCTCCAGTTGGGGTGTGTGCTGAAGGCAACCAATTGATGATTTTTCTCTCTCACATTGACGTTTCTCTCTCTCCCTCTTCCTCTCTCTAAAATCAGCAAATACATATCTTCAGGTGAGGATTTTTTTTTTTTTTTTTTTTTTTTTTTTTTTTTTGCCAAGAGATTGAGCTCATCTTCTAATTCTGGGTTTCTTGCACAAAGCAATGTCAAAGCCAATAAAACAAGACAACAAGGATTCAAAATTGCGAATATTTATGCCAGGTGAAATTATTCCAAAAGAAGAAATAGAGACACGTGTAAACCCTCCTCCCCAAGATACTCTAAAGCACCCCCATCTCTCTTTTACTCTTAGCTCAACATGATTTTGATCACTATTCTCTGTAAAATTCCTCTCAAACTCCATCCCTATGCCTCCCTCCCTGTGTTCACAAAAAACTAAAACTGAACAGTCTCTTTCTCATACCTGACTTGCATCACCAACCACCTTGTTATGTGAGAGATGATGTTCTCTTCTGAGACATGTTCACTGAATTCTTCCAATTTAATACCTTTTATTTCTACTAATGTATAAGGACATATAAAATATTCCCAAACTTGTTAAGATATAACCTGACCCTTTCCTTTTCAAATTCTTGAATAAAAGTTTATATTCTTGTTTTATAGAAACACTCACATTTTCCTACGCTGGTATAATAAATTCCCCTTTAGTAATCAATATTACCTATCAGCTAAGACAAAACTTGCAAGAATTAATCATGTGTATAATCTAAGATATGAAAAAATGGAGGGTATCTGCTTCCTATAACTTTTGATCTGGGACTCACCATAATCTTCCTGTGTGATGTTAACTACCACCCCTCCACCAATGTCAATTTGTCTCTGAGTAGAACTGTCTTCCAGTTTCCTTAGGATTTCCTCCTGGATTCCATCATGACCCATGTCTCGTTTGCGACTCATAAAATGGGCATACAGCTCTGTCTGGGTGATTAGGAAGTTCAATTTTCGTTGTTGCCTCTTGGCCTAAACAGGAAAAACATTGAAGTGAAGAGTCACCATTAATCACAAACAAGAGATAGTCAACAGAATTCACCAAACCTAAATACAGTTTGCAATGTAATTCCTTTACAAATTCTTTGTCATTAGAAAGATGAAAACTGCTAGTGAACAATTTTTATAATAACCAAGTCCTGGTACTAAACACAAATAACTTTCATTTATAGTTTAATAATAATATATACTTTGCTCTCCTTTATAATATGACATCTTTCTCCATTTGGCTTGTCTAAAATGTTTATTTCTGCCCTAGCCAGTTTGGCTCAGTGGATAGAATGCCTGCCTGTGGAATGAACAATCCCAGTCAAGGGCACATGCCTGGTTGCAGTCTCGATCCCCAGTCGGGGACATGCAGGAGGCTGACAATCAATGATTCTCTCTCATCATTGATGTTTCTATCTCTCTCTCCCTCCCCCTTCCTATCTGAAATCAATAAAAATATATTTATAAACAAACAAATAAAATGTTTATTTCGACCCAGCCAGTGTGGCTCAGTTGGTAGAGCATCGGCCCATGAACCAGGAGGTCACATGTCCAAGTTGTGGGCTCAATCCCCGATAGGAGGCATGCAGAAGGCAGCCACTAAATGTTTCTATTTTTTTCTCCTTCTTCCCTCCTCTCTCTGAAATCAATAAAAACATATTTAAAAATAAATAAATACATAAAATAAAATGTTTATTTCTTTACTATATTATTTTTTTATAGTAGCACTGAGACAGCAACTATATTCAAACAACATATTTTATTTCATAATCTAGGTGGTAAATACATTTGTAAAGCTTCATTATATTAAAAATGTAAACATGTCAAAAACTCTTCTTTATCTATAACTAAAAGTCCAAGTAAGGGCTAAGAGCTATAAATTATTCTTGAAGTCAATGCAGAAGGTAACTAAGAATAAACCAATGAAAGGAAGAAAATACTCCCCAAAACAAATATAGTTTACGTGTGATAATGATAGTTAAAATATGGTTATAAACCAAACACATGCTCACAAATACATACTTTTTTTTTTTTTTAATGTAAAAAGCTAACTCAAAGTGCCTCTGAAATAATTTGGTAAGGAAAATAATCATTGTGTCAATAAATAGTTACTCATAAAAATAAACAATAAAATGAGCAAACAACTACCATAAAAATCAAATAATATGAACTATAGCACACATAATAAAAGCAAAACTAAAGAAATTTTTCATTAACTATTTTATAATAAAATCTCTACAAATTGTATGAGACTCATTCTTAGATCTACTTTCCTCAAAGAAAAACAGCAATAATTTATGGAATAAGGCCAAGAAAGACCCAAGTCCCAAAGTAAGCCACATAAAACTATTCTATTTTTTTTTTAAGGGTTTTATAGCATTTGAGCCAAATTCAAATTAGAAGAAAATCTGAGAGTTTGAGAAAACACTGAGCTTATTTTTCATAACAGATATAAATGCTCATGACCCAAAGCTAAAGTACAGTCAAGAAAACCTTTCTAAAACTAAAAATAAAAGAGTGATGTCCGGGCCCTAGCTGGTTTTGCTCAGTGGATAGAGCATCGGCCTGTGGACTGAAGGATCCCAGGTTCGATTCTGGTCAAGGGCACATGCCAGGGTTGGAGGCTGGATCCCAGTGTGGGGTGTGCAGGAGGCAGCCAATCAATGATTCTCTCTCATTATTGATGTTTCTATCTCTCTCTCGCTCTCTTCTCTCTGAGATCAATAAAAAAATATATTTTTTTAAAAGAGTAAAGCCGCCCTAACCGGTTTGGCTCAGTGGATAGAGCGTCGGTCTGCGGACTGAAGGGTCCCAGGTTCAATTCCGGTCAAGGGCATGTACCTTGGTTGCGGGCACATCCCCAGTAGGGGGTGTGCAGGAGGCGGCTGATCGATGATTCTAACTCTCTATCCCTCTCCCTTCCTCTCTGTAAAAAATCAATAAAATATATATATATATATTTTTTTTTAAAAGAGTAATGTCACCTTAAAGAAGGCAACTACTAATGTTTAAATAAAAACTGTAAATAAAAGGAATAATAAATATCCATCAAAAAATTTTATTTCAAAAGTTCAAAGAAAAAGACACACAAATCAACATAAATGTAGATAAAACTGTCATCAGTTAGCTATCAACATAATTATAATTGGGACAATGTCTCACAAACCTAGATCAAAATAAGCCAAGTTGCTTATAAAACTTTAAGATCTGTAACTAATTTTTAACTGCCTCTACGCTCAGTAAGTATTCCCAATAGCATCAAATGCTTACTAATTCAATAATACTGTATGTTCATCTTGCGAGCAAAGATAAAAGTTACCCAGGGGACTTAAGTGAACTGGGCAAAATCCATATTCGTTCTCAAAGGCATGATAAAGGAGGGAAGATCAATAGCTCAAGACAGGTTCCACAGCTCTGCTTGGCAAGAATACTTCTAAAAGAAAACATCCAATCCTCTGAATCCCTTCTTTCTTGGACCTCAACTTTCCTTCCATTCATCCCAACTGGTTTCCCAAAGGGAACCCAGTAACTTTGTCCTCTTATTCTCCCCTCTTGCTTCCCTAAACAACATATTCAACCTACCTCAGACTTAGCAAGGGTACTAGCTGCAGTTTAAAACAGCAAAGTAGGTTAGGGGTGGGTCTCAGAAAACTGGGCTAGTTGTCCATTGTCCCTATCTGGCCCTAAATTTGGCAAACAGCCCTGATCTTCTAACAAATCAAAACTGCAGCCAGCACCTGGAACCAAGCCAAGATAAGCTGTAAGCTAATTCCTTTTACTTTTGTTCACGCCTCCCTCTCCCCCCCGCCCCCCTCTCTCTCTCTCTTTGGTCCTAGAGAAATATACAAAGAAACAGGCAGCAAAAATTAAGGAGAAATTGACCTAAAAGAGGTGAAGGCCAGGGAGAGGGCCTTATTGAAAGAATACAAATATAATTGGTTTTCTGGACTAAAACCAACATCCTCAAAACATTTTTACACAACTTCACTGATTAGATTTATAAATTCTGAAGTGCAATCTCTTAATATGGCTGCAGCAATTAGGATTTTCAAAATATTATGCTACTGTCCTACCTCCCGCATTTCCTCATCCAACTTCCGTTGCTCTAAGGCTTCCTTTTCAGCCCGCTTTCGGTGTTCCTTCTCCACCTTCTCGTACTTCTTCCAGTACAGAAGCATCTCCTTGGTAAGGCGGCGGGCACGAGGCAAGGTCTCCTTACAGTTCTTCTGGGCCTGCAAGGCGGCTCGACGTACCTCCTTCATGCACTGGTGGGCAAGCTGCAAAAAACATTATCACAATGGCGGATCCAACACCAACGCCAGTGCTCCCTGGGCTCCAAACCCTAGCATTCCTCATTCTATTCAGTGCACACAGTCCTCCTACGGCCACTTCTCTCTCCCCCGCAAACTGATTAACATCCCTGTACTATACTACAACCCAGTTTTAGACCCTGGGGTAGTATCAAGGATGAGAAATTTATATAATAAAAGCCTAAGCAACCTTTATGGTAGAACTACCAGAACAACCAGTCACTATGATGGGCACTGATCACCAGGGGGCAGACACTCAACACAGGAGCTGCCCCCTGGTGGTCAGTGTGCTCCCACAAGGGGAGTGCTGCTCAGCCAGAAGCCAGGCTCACAGCTGGCAAGTGCAGCAGCAGTGGAGAGAGACTCTCTTGCCTCCACGACAGTGCTAAGGAGGCAGCAGGTGGTGGTAAGAAGCATGGGTCCTGGATGTGAGAGGGCGCAGGCCAGACTGAGGGAACCACCTCCACACACATACACACGCTGAGTGCATAAATTTTGTGACCAGGTCTCTAGTCTGTAAATAAAATGCCTTAGAAAATAAAAAAGAAAAAGTATAATGACCTGAGATGTGCTAGAAATTTACAAAGTGTTATCACTCACAATAATTAAATTTATCAATGCTTATTATATGTAAGCACCAATCTAAGTCTAATATACATTAAGCTAATTTATTCTTCACAAATCCCCTATGAAGTTGTCATCTTCCTCATTTAATAGACGAGGAAACTGAGGATGAGTGATTAACTAGCTTAGGGAAATACAAGGACCATTAGCTCACCTAATCCTCACAGCTCTCAAAGGAAGCTGGCTTACTCCCCTCAAAGGGAAGGTATTAATATAATCATTTCTTAGATGAACACAGGAAGACTCCATGGTCTGCCCAAGGAATTAAGAATAGGCTAAATAAGATCTTACCAAAAATGGTTCAAATACCAGAAATGTGAGGAAGAACAATGTTACTTATAAAATCGATTGAGAACATTAAGAAACTCTCTTAGGTATGATCAGATTCATTATCAATAGGTGACGAGACAAAAGTAGTAATTATGTATCGAGACAAGAGCAGCAATTATGTATCCAAAGAACAAGAGCACATTCCAACAAATCATAAAATAGAAAATAGAAAGCTAAGCTACAATTTTACCTTTCGGCTATTGGTGAGAAACAGATTCCGAGCTGAAGCTTTCTGCTTGTTGGCCTAAAATATAAAAAAAAAAAAAAAACACACACACACACAATTATTTCACTTAGGATTCCTTTTTGAAAAGGTATTATGTACAGACATTATCTTTTATCCAACATGAAGGTTAAAAATAAAGCACCATCCTGACCGGTTTGGCTTAGTGGTTAGTGTGTCAGACTGAATGGTCCCGGGTCAGTTGCAGTTCAATCTGCAGCCCCAGTAGGAGTGCCGTGCAGGAGGCAACCAAAAAAAAAAAAAAAAAAAAAAAAAAAAAAAAAAAAGGCAACAAGTGAAGCACATTCAAATACATTACTGACTCGAGAACAGCATATAAATCTACTAAACTAGCATTAAAAATAACAAGCTATAACCTAGTGCTGTCACTGCCTTAGAGTCTTCTGTATACTTTTGGAAAGAATTTAAGTTATATTTAAGGCTAGAAGTGGAAAATGTAACACCATATCCTAACTCTAATATCACCCTTGATTAAAATACACTGCTTTCCCAGGCTGATCTGCAAAGAAGCTGAGTTGCAGGGCACTCAGATACAGAAATTGTTAGAAGAAAGAGAAAGTCCCCAAGTTTGTGATTCTAGCTCCACCCCCAGCCAGGACAAACATGCTGCCACTGTTACTCAGTTTCTGCCACCACTTAAGCATCATTTTCTAGAACAACAAAAATTCTGAGGCAGACCTAACAAGATGACTCAGCAACCTCGAGCTCCTTACTATGTCTTTCACTACAGTTTAAAGAAACCGAATTTCCCAGGATGGCTCATTTGTCATAGGAGAATATACAGAAGAGGCAGAGGTGAGTGGCTCTCTGACTATTAAAAAGCTCTCCCTAATTTTGAAGAAACAATGAATTAAATATTATAGAGGGGCCCTAGCTGGTTTGACTCAGTGGATAGAGCATTGGCCTGTGAACCAAAGGGTCCCAGGTTTGATTCCGGGTTAAGGGCACGATTCCGGTCAAGGGCACATACCTCAGTTGCAGGGTCCTACCGGGCCCAAGCCCTGGTCAGGGCACATGCAGGAGCAACCAATAGATAGATGTATTTCTCTCACACTGATATTTCTGTCTTTCCCTCTCTATAAAAATCTAACGGAAAATATCCTCGGGTGAGGATTAGCAATAACAAAAATAAAGTTACAGAGGGCATGAAAGCTGTTTCTATAATATACCCAACTCAGACTGTCTGCTTAAAGAGTTTTTAAGGCAGTTTACCAAAACTATTACTGATTCTTCTTTTCTTTTCTTTTGTTAATCCTCATCCGAGACATTTTTCCATTGATTTTTTTAGAGAGAGTGGAAGGGAGGGGGAGAAAGAAATATCAATGTGTCTGAGAAAGACACATAGATCACATGTGCCCTGACCAGAACCAGGGATAGAGCTTGCAACTAAGGTATGTGTTCCTGACCAGAATCAAACCCAGAATCCTTCAGTGTGCAGGCAGACATTCTATCCACTGAGCCAAACCAGCTATTACTCTCCTACTAATTCTTCAGCAATTTTTAAAAACAAGAATCTCAAATATTTCCACTGAATTCCTTATCATAGGAAAGACATCATCTGAAGCCTCATCACCAGAAACCTAAAGCATGTTTCCTCATAACTCTTCCCATCAAGAATACTCATATGTAAACTCTCTCTCTCTTGATATTATTATAAATTTCTAGACAGAAAAACTATACCAAGGCATCAAAGCTAATATCACCAATATTGATTGGTTCAGGTGTGTCATGTGCCTCCTGGTGTGATATGAAAAGAACACATCTCTTCCCTAGTAATCTGGCAAAAAATGTAAAACCAAAGCATAATCACGAGGCAACATCATACGAACCCAAGTTCAGAAACATTCTATAAAATACCTGGCCTATACTCCTCAGAATAATAATGTCATGAAAGATGAAGGCTGCAAAATTGTTTCAGATTCAAAGACATGAGAGACATGAAAACTAAATGCAACAATGCAACACGTAGTTCTAGATTGGATCCTGGATTGAATCAGTAAAGGAAAACAAACAAACAAACACTGTAGAGGACATTTTGAGACAACTGATAAAATTTGAATTATGGTCTGTAGATCAGATAATTTTGATAATTGCATGTGGTTATATGTGACAAGATGCCCTTTTTCTTAGGAAGCTCACACTGAATTATTAGGAGTAAGTTTAGCACAAAGTCTCAAACGTTCAAAATGGTTAAGAAAAAGTATACATTTAGGTTAAAAAAAAAAAAAAAGCAAATGAGACAAACAATTGCTAAATATGAGTAAAAGATACTTTGCAGTTTCTTGCATTAATCTTGCCATATATTTTTTAAAACTGTTTTGAACAAATTTTGACTCACAGAAAACTTGCAAAAAACATAGTTCCCTTACATACCTCCCCCTGCTTTTCCTAATTTTAGCATCTTATATAACCATAGTATAATTAATAAGAAAATAATTTAATCCTGATAAAATATTAACTAAACAATAGGTCTTATTTGAATGTCAACGATTTTCTCACTAGTATCCTTTCAATGTTACAGAATCCTAAATAGGATCCTACATTGCATTTAGTTGCTTTTCTTCTTAGTCTCTTCCTGAATGTAACATTTTCTATGTCTATCTTCCTCTTTCATATCCTTGACACTTCTGAGAAACACCAGTTATTCTTTTAAACATGCCAAAATTTGTGGTTCTCTCAATGGTTGAAATGACATGCATTTTGACAGAATTCCAGAGAAATAATGTGTTACTCTCATTGCACCATATCAAGAAGTTCACAGCATCAATATTTATATTAGTAGTGATGTTTACTTGGATCATTTGGTTAAAATGCATTCTGCTAGTTTTCACCAGTATAGTTACTTTCGATTTGTACTAAAATATGTATGCGGAGGCAGGTGCTTTGAATCTATGCAAGTTGTTTCTCCTCTAACTTTTGACCTCTAAAATTTTTTTAAAATATATTTTTATTGATCTTGAAGAGAGAAAGGGAGAGAGATTTAAACAACAATGATGAAAGAGATTTATTAATCAACTGCCTTCTGAATGCCCCTATTAGGGACCTAGCCTGTGATCTGAACATGTGCCCTGACCAGGAATCAAACTGTGACCTCCTGGTTCATAGGTTGACAACTCAACACTGAGTGACACTGGTCAGGCTGCCCTCTAATTCTAACATTCATCAATGGTTCCAATCTGCAACAATTAGTACTACAGTGTTTGTGTAATGGTTCTCTTATTTCCTTCCTTCTGTACTTATTTATTGGAATTGTACTGTGAGGAAGAGTTGTTCCTTCCACCTTACCTTTTTATTTATTCATTTTGTTACACCAGTATGAATTCATAAATATTTCTTTATTCTAGGAGTTAAAATTCAGAATTATTATACTAGGATCCCAGTGCACGAAATTGCACAGCCCCCCCACCTACCCACTGCCCTGCCTTGACACCTAAACCTCTCCAGCGGGCCCAGTCCCTCCACCCATCTGGCTTCTCTGACTGCTTCAAGCCCTGCCCTTAATCCCTCCAGTAACCTGGGGCTGGTCCCGCCTTCTCTGGCACCTCCCCACTTCTGCCCGTCTCCCAAGCAATGCAATAATGGGGCTGGAGGAGAGCCTGCTTCGTGTGCTCCTTCCCCAGGAAACTGAGCAGTGGAGCGCTCTGAGTGCAAGCGGTGGGTGGGGAAGGACTGTGATGGGGCGCTATGGGCTCTCACCCCTGCCTCCCGGGCACGGGCCTCCTCCGGGTGCCTCCCCACTTCCACCCTATCTCCAGAACAACACCCACTGCACACGCACAGGTAGCCTCCTTAGCGGTAGTGACTATGACACTATGACACCGTTAGGACCAATTAGCATGTTTCCTCTTTTTACAGATAGATAGATAGATAGATAGATAGATAGACAGACAGACAGACAGACAGGCAGGCAGACAGACAGATATTTTGTTGCTCAAATTACTCTAACTTTGGCCATCTCCTTCAGGTTGGTTGCTATGTTCTTCTGACAAGCCTCCCCCCACCCTACCCACCCCAGATCCTCCAACTTTTTTCAATTACTTCCCTCTTTTCTGATACCACAAGATGTTTAAGGCTCACCTTATATTTTCTCTGGCAAGTTCTGGAAGCCCTGGTTCCTTTTATCCTATCTAATAAAGAGGGAATATGCTAATTGACCATCACTCCATCACAAAGATGGCTGCACCCACAGCTAAGGCCAAGTTCCCATAAGGAGCCTTAAGGAGCAATCAACAGGAACCTGAGGCTACGCCCTCCCCCGCCCCTGTGGGGCTTGACAGGGTACTTCAGGCTACGCGCCTCCCCCCCATCCGGCAGGGTCTGACAGGGGACCTCAAGGTGCATTTCCCATCCTGGTGCTGGGCTAGGGGACCTCAGGCTGCTCCCCCTGCCCCAACGCCAGGCCAGGGGACCTCAGGCTGCGCCCCCTGTTGCAGCATCAGGCCAGGGGAACCTCAGGTAGTGACCCCTGCCCCGGCACCAGGCCAAGAGACCTAGGGTCATGTCCCCTTCCTGGCAGGACTTGATGGGGGACCTCAAGGTGTGTGTCTCCATCCTGGCACTGGGCTAAGGGACCTCAAGCTGCTCCCCTTGCCCCAGTGCCAGGCAGGGGGACCTTAGACTGTACCCCAAACTAGGTGAGGCATGACAGGGTACTTTAGGCCGTACCCCTCACCCCAGCACCAGGCTGGGGGACCTCAGGCTGGATCCCTCTCGCCCCAGCACAAGGCCAGGGGACCTGAGGCTGTGCCTCCCTGCCTAGTGGGGCTTGACAGGAGACCTCAGGCTGTGCTCCCCACCTAAGGGGGCTTGATGGAGGACCTGAAGGTGCACCCTCAGTGCTGGGTTGGGAGAACTCAGGCTGCGCCCCCTGCCCAGTGGAGCTTGTTGGGGGATCTGAGACTGCACCCCCATCCTGATGCCGGGCCAGGGGACCTGAGGCTGCACCCTTCCTGCCTGGCAGGGCTTGACGGGGAATCTCAGGCCATGTTCCACACCTCACA